GTTACTATTTAATTCACAAAACATGCGTTTTAACCGTTTTAACCATTTAAAATTTCTATTCGATTCTCGTCATTCTTAATTTGTTGCGTGGTACTATATGGAAGCTGGGAATATGGAAGTGATGATATGTCAAATTGACATGATTGATTGGTAGAAATATAAATAAATAAATATAATACGATTGATATTCCAATTCAAAGAAATGACAGGAAAGAAAATGACAAGATATAATATTAATTTGAATTTTGAATGTGTTGAAAAATGTCGTTATCAATTATTCAATATTTTATTTATTTATTTTATGTTTGGCCTTTTTTTATTGGATGAATAAAGTTCATAGACCCGATTTGATTGAATGTATGCTTAACAATCACGACATATTAGGAGGAAAAATGGAAACATTTTAGACACCTAACAAAACAGAATGGAATAATAAGAAACGAGTTAAAAGGAAAGAAAAGCCATGCCTTAATGTATTTTGATGCTTCATTGTGTTTTAATTATACGGCATGTGTCCAGTATCAAATAGACATTTTAATGATGATGATGGCGATGATGATAATCATTTTGAATCAAGAATTGTCGAGATTGAGGAAAAAAATGGGGAGATTCAGATTACAAGAATGAAAAGAGAAGACTTTTTAGATATGTGAAGCTCATAAATATGGAAAGATTTTTTTTCGGGTCCAACTGTGATAACCAGTTTTTCTTCGTTCAGAGTTTTGCGTTTTCAATGCGTATGTTGTCTTATGTTATTTTATATGTTATAAGTGTATCCATCAAAAAAGACGAGTAGAAAGGAAAAAAAAATAAAATAACGACAGCGGCAGAGAGTCAATTTGAAATTCCAACTTACGCCCTTTTTTATCGCTTGGTAAATGTGCTTCATGCTATGTTTCTTTTATACTATTGTTTTCTAAGAAACCGGGCTGACTGACTGACTGACTCAAGAAAAAAAAATACACACAATATTTTTTCTGTTCAACTCGCATTTCTCGCATTTGAAATTCCAACTTAAATGCTTTGAAGCCTTTCAATGTGATAGCGATGATGATTGTTTCTGTTCAAATCATTATCTCTTGAAGAATCCGTGAGTGAGATGAAAAATAAGCGCGTAAAAAATTGGTAGAACAGTCACATCTGGCTGATGGATATAAAGCATTTTGTTCTAGGATAGACAACTGTTGAAACATTTGGTATTGAAATTATTATTTATTAGAGATAGATAAAGTTCTTGTCGTTAAATGGAACTTCAACCTCTTGGATTCTGCTGGTTTCGAAGCTGCAGACACAAAACTCATGTAATTTCTTTCAAAAAGCTTTGGGTTCTAATCCCACTGATTATTATCAATAGCATAAAAGATGCGACACATACCCGGGTGGACACAGCCAGTTGAAGTCCATTATTGGACAATCATTTAACAGTCTTTTAACTTGCCAAAATTTATACGACAAAGAGAACTCGACGTTAACTAGACTTTAACTGGACATTCATGCTAATCAATCAAGTGTTCGAAACTCAAAAATAATTTTCCTTACTTTTTTGACCATATACTTCACAAGTGCTTACAGAAATCACTTATATAAGGTCCACCAAAATTTGTATGAAACTTTTAAGTAAATATAATTGTTTCACGCGCAAGTGTTCGAGACTCAATTTTTACTAGAGATTTTTCATAAGTGATAGTGTACTTTAATTAATTAATTACACTAATACAATAATAAAATTTTACAAAAGAAAAAAATATGGAGAAAAAGACACGTGTTATTTATTTTATTTCGATTTTTTTGTAACTGGACATTAACTAGACATATTTGCAATTCCTATGTCCAGTTAAATGGAAAGCGCAAAATATGTCATTAGTCGTCCCTAAGTCTAGTTGCAAAGGCACGTCAATGGATACTTACTCGCCGTGAAAAGGCAAGTCAATGGCAAGCTTTTAACTAGTACTTTGTCCACTCGGGATACGCATCTTGCGAAAGTGACTTGTATTTAGAACATCCAATTATATTCTTGACCCATTATATGATTCGAAAGAATCATACAAATACTTGATTGACTAAAATTTACTTATTGAATCATCAATTACTTCAGGGATTTACACAATATTACTTAACTTTCAAATTACATCATGTTTAATTCCTAGAAAATTGTGTAAATCGATATCAATTGATCCCAGCTATACAAACTGACTGAATCCTAAGAACTATAATATCAATCATAAAAAGCTATCAATGGTTAAATATACACAAGAAAGCGATCATTCTATAGATCGACGAATTTTTTAACAATCATCAAAAAATGTGCGCGCAAAAAGGCAAAACACATAGCAGAAACAGCAAGAAAATTGTTTAAAAGGAAACTCATTAGACAAAACGGACATTGAGATATCCATCCGTTAAATAAGAAAATACAATTAATCATTACATAAAATGGAATTCGTTATTACTTACAATGTTTATTTTCGTATTCTTGCTCACTTCCACCTTTAAAATTATAATTTGATATTTTTTTTCTTTAATATTCTTTTAATTTTGCAAATTTTTTAAACGTGAACAAAATCTTTGATTAATTCTCCTTTCAATCATACACACTTCAAATATTTCATTCCAATGCACAATCAACAAACAACAAAACTTCAGCTACAAGTCCGATTGAATTATGATCAAAATCATTAATTAATCAATTATTGAAGAACTATACACAATAACAACCAGTTAGTCAGTTGCTGTTTTTCACTTGCATGAATATTAATTTATGTTTCTTTTTTTTTCGTTATTTATGTACAGTTGATGGATCTTTACCATTGAAATAATTTTTGTTTTAAATAATATATTTTCGATAAAACAATAATTAGCTACTCTTTCGATTATTATTTTAACTTTTTTTTTACGGCCCGGTGATTTGAAAAATATCACGAACGTACAAAACGATGTTGACGCTTTGATGCACGAAAGAACTCTGAATGGGGAATATTTTTCAGTTTGTTCGTACGCTTTAAAAAACATTAAAAAAATATATATACAACATGTAGTCGAAAAAAAATGTAAGAAAAAAGAAAGAACACAGATGATGATGATGAGTGTGTGTGTGTGTGTGACGACTATGACGAATTATAGGATCGGTTTTTTCGGAGTATAGAAAGAAATGAGAAATATTGTAGAATGAAGGAAAATAGAATTGATCTTATTAGATGACTTCAAATACTATCTTACTATTTCTATAGAGAAGAAGAAAATATCGGAATCGGAAGAGCCGATGGGCACAATAGCTATAGTTTAGAATCAGCAATTTTGTTATTTTTTATTTCGCCTATAATCAAGTGTGGTTTTTCTAGCCTCATACTTATTTTACGCAAGCACTTAATTTAATTGAAAAATTACTTCGCCGAATTGTTTTTTATGTTTCATCATTTCAAATGAGGCAAGACATGTAAGCAAGCACGCTCGTAATTTGATACAATAGAAGAGAAGCGTATGTTGTATGAATCATATGGATGTACATAGAAACCTTTAAGAGAAAAAATAATTAATTGAATCAGCACAACAGGAAGTAGCTGTCTATAACGATAGGAGACTTTGAAATTCATCGCTTTAAAATAAACATTTGAATATTTCTCTCATTTCGATATCATTAGAAGATGTGCTCGATTAAGGAATCTTTATGAACATTGTGGTAATTTGCCGAAATTCTAAATGTTATTATTGTAAGCAATATTAATGAATTTTTCTCTCTTTTTTGCCTCCGACACAAAAAGCACTTCTTTGTTGGTTTTTCATAATTAGGCAATTTTCGACAATAAGGGTTTTATTCTTATTTTATCGTTGAAAGGCAAGAAGGAGAAGAAAAAAATCAATGACCACTTAAGGCTTTGGCTAATGACCACAAAAATATTAAACTATCGTCTACAAACACGATACACAGCAATGCATTCAAGATTATGAACAGCACATTGAAAAAATTTATTGAAAGCGCATTTAAGAGTATTTTGCAGAATGCCATAGCATTTTTCTGAATTTCCAAAGTCTAGCTAATTCAAATAATCAACTCTAAACAGATCACGAAAGGCAGTTATAGACCTTTTTTTACAACAAAATCTAATTCAGAAGCTCTAGTATCGTTTTTGAAGTATTCTATTGAAGCTCTAATAATGACATACACTGATCATGTGTTTTCTTGAAAGTATATCCACAAATCATTGATTATAAAGAGAATTCTTTGATTGATTGACGAAATTATTAGATTCATGCTAGACTCTTAAATGAATCAAATTTGATTCTAACGAAATTTAATCTTTAATATATGAACTTCACATCATTGTCTTCATTATTTAGATCATATAGAAATTGAAGTTGAATAAGATCATGTTTAAGAGTTCTTCCGGCTTGAAAATCAGTATCCATTTACTCAGACAGTTCTTGAAATTTTTGGATATCGATCAATTGTTGACACAATTCTATATCCACGACGAAACCGGTATAAAATACTCTTTGAAATAATATACGAACATTTTAATTAGTGCCTAGACAAACTGAAGAAACAAATACTATAAGACTTGTTATAAAATTAGGCTCTTTCGATTTATAAATTTTAAGTTGCTTAATGACATAGTTTTGTTTCTTTTTTAATGATTCTCATTTCTTCACAAAAAGAAGAAAAAAATCATGGAATGGTTGGTGTGTTATGGAAGAAGGATGATCGATGGACATTTACAAAAAAAGGTCCATAGAAACAAAAACTATCAGTTGAATGGTAATTAATGCCTTCTTTTTAGATGTTTATGTGTTTTCAACATCTGTTATTTTCTAACATATCCACTTTTTCTTTTTCTTCTTCTATGCTACACAACATACTGTGTGTGCTGTATACATACTTTTTTGATCACGCACAATTTTTTATTTTCTCTGCTTTAGTCAACCTTCTTTACAAGAATATTAAGTAAGTATTATAGAAAAATCGATGAGATCTATCAAGAAGAAGAACTCAAATCTGGACTTACCTTCATTAGAGATTCATCGTTTCAAGTTATTTTCGAAAGTATTTTTGGTATAATTTAAAGCTAATTTTGGTGATTTATTTTGGTTAATTAAAGAGAGCATAAAATGTTTTTTTGTGTAACAAAACTTTTTCAATTTTATCCATTTTCCTGAGGCTTTTCAACACATCTAATATCATTTTGGGATGCTACACATTCTTATCGACACGATTTCATTCAGTTCTTTTTTATAATCACTGCTTTTCTGTCCAAAATTAATTAATTTAAGTGAGATACAAGATAATTTAATAGGGAAAATTTATCCAAAATAAAAAAGATTTTTTGCTATTCCCCGACTGAAATTTAAATCTGAATCGTCCGTTATTTTTATGCAAGCGCAACATTAATTATTATGTTGTGCAATATCGGAATAAATTTTTTTCATTATCATCTTTGAATGCTTAATATTTGCTTACCTGAGCATTAAAATTTCAATTTAAGGAACGTGATTTTTCATAATCTTTCAAAATCATTATGAAGCACGTTTTTAACAATTAGAGACGAGCGTACAGAAGGTCTTTAGATTTTTTTGTTGTTCATTTCCATTTCCTTCCTTCCTGTCCATACACACATCCATATATTGCTGTTAGATCCGGTTTTATTTCCATTCTATAGCTATTTATTTATTTTATTACTTTATGTCTTCTACCTTACCTCCTGTTTTATTCTTAATACAGGCTTTTTTTTTTACTTTTACTATAACTAATGATCCTCACAACACAAGTTGCAGAATGCATTTCACAGCGAGAGAGAGACCAAAGGCATGTATGAAGAAAAGACAGGTACATAAACAAATAATAACAATTTTTTGGGGATATATATTTTTGTCGGTCATACTGAGCTTTATAATAGGTGTAATAAATTAAGATTTAATTGCATGGGAAACAAATTTATTTTTTCTGTACAGGAAAAAGTCAAATATGTTGAGGTCGAAAGGTGCTGCTAATTTTTTCCTAATTATATGTTCGATCGGAAGAAATAAATCCCAACAAATTGACAGTTATCAAATAAAAAAAGATAAAACAAAAAAGCAATTTATTTCAAACAAAATTAAAATTCAATACATTAAAACTTTATCTATCTATCGAAATAATATCTAGTTTCGATTCGTCAGTGCTGCTTAAATTTTATGTTGTGGCACTTTCATTTCTTATTTTTTGACACGTTTTAAGACACAAAAAAGTTGCACAACATAAAAAGATGTTGTACCACATAATTTTATGTCACACAACAAGAGGTAATAGGAATTCTTAGGAACCATAAATAAATAATGTGATGCTGAACTCAGTATACCATGTTTGATAGTTGCATGGTCATGATCCAGTCTCGTCAATCAAGAATGACATCTTTTAAATTGTGATTGTAATTCTGTCTGCACCACGTGTTTCCAACTGTTGCAGACACATTTTTTTCATTAAGACATTCCGATCATTTAATAGATCTCTTGGGAATTTAACCTTCATCTAGTCTCAACAGGACATTCCCAAGATGACGAATATCCAAGCATTATTACATAAAGGAAGTAAAATCCATTAAAATCACATCCTTCAAGGATCAAAATTGGATCAATCAATCATTTTTATTAACAAACTTGACATAAAATAACGAATCACGTAGCTTAGTAATTCCTTAAGCTTCTAATTCTTTCTTATTTCCTGACATTTGTAGATATTAAAATATTGAGCACCACGATTATATTAAGCATAGAATCGACAAAATAAAAATATTAATCTATTGATCCACTTTTAAATTTCTTTGCTGGAACTATGAAAAAGTCGTCACATTCTGATTCATTCCTCGTTCTTTTGTGTGCTTTTGGTGAATTTTGATGTGATATATCTTCCTCGTCTGACTGATACTCAATGTAAATTGGATGGATTTTCTTTCCAGACTTTTTCAATAAATAAGGATCAAATGGAAAGACACTTTCTATCACTTCCTCTGGATGATATTCTTCGTTCATGAAGACTGTTGCTAGTTTCTTGCTAGCATTTTTCACTAAAATCGTGTGACAATATAAAATTTGATGTCTAGTCATGACATTATCGAATATTGTGGCGATTGCAGGAAGACAATAATTTAAAGGATTCAGTGGATGCTTAACAATTGGGGATAAGTCAAGTAATAAGAGGTATTGTAAATTTCTCGTTGAATTAATCAAATTTAAATCTTTGCTTCGAAAAGCAATAATGTAGAAAATGGCTTGACACGTAGCATGAAAAACTAGATGCGCTCTCGGACTTAAATTGATATTGATAGAGTGACACATTTTTATGTAATCGTGAGCGAAGTTACTGAGGTGTTCGAGGTATTTTTTCATCAGTTCTATTGGTATAAACTTAGCACGAGCTAGTAAACTTGAAAGGTATCCAACTGCAGTCTGTCTGATTATTGATGGTTTGTTTCTGTCCAATATTTTATCTAGAAGATTCTTCAGCAGTTCCAATAAGAATGATTTCTGTAGAATTTAAGGGATATTTCGTCAGTTTTGGAAATAAAAATAACCGAATTCACAAGTTACCTTAAAACTTGCTATGTAAAAAAAGATGAAATGGACGTGCTTGCTGTTGTGTGTCTTAAGGAGATGCTCATCGAAGTACTCAAAAATTGACTTTTCAATGACTTTTTGTTCATTTAGAGGCGTTTTACTTTCAGAATTGAGTTTTGAATAGAAATAGCTAAACATAAGATCCATACACACATCCAGTGTTTCTGCAATTGGAAGCTTCATTGTATCACTGTCTGCATTGGTATTTTCATTCTGTGCTTCATCTATTAATTCCTCTTCTCCATCCTCTATATCACCTCTTGATAAACTTAGATCGATTGCTAGTAATCTAGAATAAATTTCTATGTTTATTACATAAACTTGTGAAACTTAATGGATATGCCTTACGATTCAAAAATTGTCTCTAAAATATCGTGCACCATACTTTGACAGCTATCGAGAATCTTTAACAGATTATAAATATATCCAGCGATTTTGTAAGTTGACTGCTTTCGGTAAGGAAACATGTCTGTAATACACCTCCTTAGTGTCACAGGAAGCATTGGAATCGCCTCGTAGATTTTCTTAATTAAATTGTGAGTTTTATCTAATTTTTCAGCTAGTTCAGCATTTGGAACTCCGTTTTTCCACTCATTTGCCTCATTCTCGCCAGGTATGAAGATGGTCAGGATCTTTGAACAGCATTTGGTTAGAAATTCAGGCTTTGCTGTGAGAATATCAATTATAAATCTATGATACAGCTCAATGATCTCGTCTGACTTGTTAATCCATCGAATATTCAAAATTGTTTCTATTAGAAGTACAAAATCTAATTTAAAAACTTGAACACAGCCAATTGATTCCTTCAAGGTCTTGATAAGCGTTTCGTCCTACATAAAACAAGAAAAACATGCGGAAATTAACCTTTGTGATGGAGTTACTTAAATTAATTAACGTTTCTTACTAAAATATTCTCTTGTGATAGCTTGTATATCAGGTCCATATACTCTTTCATATTCCCATTTTCTGCTGCCAAAAGGATTTCTTTCACACTTGACAAATTATCGACTTGAAATCTCAACTGTTTTGATTTTCTTATGGTATCTTCTCGAAATGGTGTTGCCGTCTTTAAAATTGACGTGCTTATTGACTTTCTGCTACTTATGATCGACATCCTTGCTAATTTATCTTCTAAATTACATTTAAAACAATAATTTAAGACTTTTTCTCTTTACGCAAAAATGCGTATTATTTTCATTTCCTCGTGTATTATGTTTGTGGCTGAATTCCAAATATTTTATTCAGCACCAGACATGGACACTTTGTATTATGATCAGAATTTATTGCCTCATATTGCCAATTCTATTGATTTATGACTTGAGATAATAATGTCTTGGTAAGTTCCTACTTGACATGATCTATTGAATGTCCTTGATGAAGAATCATCGATGATTATTTTCTATAATTTATTCGAGTGTCCATCCATGACTTTTTTAAGGTTAAATCGACTCAACATAAAACGTAAACAGAAACATAATTTCAAAATATATCGAAACTTTTGTTGTTTTCTCAAGAATTCAGTCATGACTAACTGCTTTGTGTGTGAAAAAGAAGTCTATAAATACAAATGCCCAGCTTGCTCTATACAATAGTAAGTATTTGAGTAGAAAAATCAGTTTTATTAAATTTTAATGTGATTTTGAGGAGAAGACATGTTTTTTGCTCGTTTATGATAGCTGTAATCATTCTGATCCAAAAATCATGTAATTTGCTATTAGTTTTAGCAGAATACAGGTAGTTTATGTTAAAAATTAATGATTTATGCCAAATTTTAACTTACTGGATCTTACTGAAAACATCCAGAAACAATTTGTCAGGAAATCAATGAATTAAATGAATAATAATCATCTGGACCTATTTTTGACTCTATATAATCCTCAATAATCTCACCTGAATCTCGAATAAATTTTCTCATTTCAGTTGCTCAGTATCATGCTTCAAAACGCATAAAGATGGAGAGTGTGATAAGATAGTAAATCAGAACAACCCAAAAGATACCGAAAACACAATAGTTGAAGACAAAGTGCCTGCTAGAATGATGTTTGAAACAATTGACACTATTCCTGCTCAAAAATTAGAGGAACTTAAGGAATCAGAAGTACTGAAAGAAATGTTGAAGAATAAGCATTTAAGAGACTTCTTGCAAGAGCTAAATGATGCTAGAAATCCTTGGAAAGCTATAAAAGCAGCAATGAGTGAGCCATTATTTCTAGAATTTGCCGACGAATGCTTAAAAGTAGTTGAAAACGAGACTTAAGCTGATCAAAGCCATGCATAAACTGGATAATTTTATTAATAAGAACTTTCAATATATAAATGTATAGTTTTATATACGAATAAAATAGTGATTACTCGAAATACAATATAAATTCATCAACAAACATTGAAAGAGTTAATATAATTAAGGATTTTCGGATGAGAAAATATTTCCCAATGCCTCTGCAGCCTTTAATTTTACAGCAATCTGCTCGTCTTTTAAACATGAAATGATTTTATCACTAGTTGTTGTTTCCAATTCAGTGCGATAATTATTTTCAGTCGAAATTGATCCAAAGTGATGTAATAAGCCAATATGTTGGATAGCTTGGAGCTGAATTTCACGCCATTGACTTCTTAAGTATGGTAAACATGATTCGATGAAGGTAGGAACATTGTCTGGTAATTCAATGCACTAAAATTGATGAAAATTTAATCTTTAACGAATTTTCCGAATTCAAATTAAATTCCTGGAAGGCTTCCAATGATTTCCAGTTAAAAGTCAGGTCTAGATTGAAGCTAAAAATTTGTCCCTTTGTCAATCTCATTTACTCATTCAATACTTACAGCAATCCTTATGAATTCATGGATGAAATGGTCATAGTTCAATTGTTGATACTCTTGTAATTCCAGTTGAACTTTCTCATTCAGTTGCTTGGCTCCCAAGATGTTTCCAATGTTCCTCAAAGCTATCTTGCAAGCCTAACAAATAAATGTGTTACAATTTTATCAGTCATTCAATAACAAAATCGTTTATAGCTGATTCATACTAATTATCAGTTTAACTGGATATGCGAGACTTAAATATGGCATTTATACTCGAAATTAGAGATAAGAGCGATGATTAACGTTTTAGCTCACCATAAAGGTAAATATGCGAATTTTGAAAATGGAACCAATGCAAATCAGTTCAAGATTTATAAGCAGTAGAACTTACCCTAACAATAATCGACTCATTCTCACTTAAATGAAGCAGGAATGGAAATAAATTTGTTACAAGTTGTTCCTTCAATGCTTCCGATATTTCATCGTTCTTTCCCGTCTGATAAAGTTTCGTCTGATAGCATAAATCACCAAAAAGTAAAATAGCTGATTCTCTTATTTCAACCGATTGATTATCAAAAAATGGTCGAATTCTAATGGTTAATGACACTTCAAAGAGATCAAGCTTCTCCTTTGGTATGGATTTTATAACTCTACTTAGTCCTCTTAGTGACTCCAATGGAATGTTAATGAAGCTATTTGCATTAAAGTCGTCCATTCCTTTTAATAATGCTGCTAATGACAATTCTGAATATTTTTCAATATCATGCTTATTAAGTTCCGACACATAAGCAAGTCCACGAATACAAAAAGCACGAACAGACGCATTTGGATCCGATAAAGCTGCTGTTAAATGCAGCATAATTGTACTTGAAATATCTCCGCATGGACGTAGAGGAACCAATTGCGAAAAAAATCCAATGAATGCAATACGATGTGCATCAACAGTCGATGAACTGTATTTACTCAAATCATGAATAATTTCCTTCATTTCTGATGAATTGATGTTATGACTGCTGGCAATTCCAACAGCTAGAGGTGTCAAAAATTCCATAAAATTATTCAAATTCGTACTCGATGACATTTGTGGAAATGACTGTAAAACTGTTTTAACATTTTCATTCTCAAGGATATCCATTAACTTAATAAATGTATCAAGAACAATTTGTGATGGAATAACTTTCACTGGATCGCGATTAGAAATGAAGCCAAAGCGAGTTCCTTTAGAATTTTTACTTGCTGACGATGGAACCTTAATTTTTTCGACATCAACTTGAACTGGTGGAACCATTGATGGAATTGTATTAATATAAGCAGCAAGTGTTGTCATTAGCATTGAAAAAATCGGTGCAAAACGTTTTTTAAGTTCAGGAACTGACGACTTATCATTACTAAAAATTAACTCACGAAAAGCACACACATTTGCAAATGGACTATGTGTAAGGATCTTGGCGGTTTCACTTGATCCAGTAATATTATCATACGGAGGCACTTCATAAATTGTTTCCAAAATATTATCAATAATTGTTCCTGTCAAATTACTATCGGATGTCACTGAGTGCCAATATTCACAAATATTCTCGTCATACGGAAGTGGTTGCATTAACATTTCAGCACAAACGAGTTTTGGATGGAATTTAGTCAAAGAAACTAGTGATAAATAAATATTCGTTCTAGTTCCGCTATTGTCACAAACTTTCAATGCATGAAATGAGTCCTTTACTAAATCTGGAATTGCATGAAATATTTCCGAGCCTTTAACTTGAATAAAGGAATTAAGGACTAATGCAGCACCAGCTGATGCACTCCAATCTGGATCATTAAGGTTGTAGAGTAATGCCTTAGAAAATGTCACATATTGCTGATTAGAGAGTCTCATAGCAATAATATTGGCAAGTTTCTGTGCCAAAACAATAATTTCATCATTGTCATTATTCGTTATCTTATCGCGAATATCTTTCAGTTCTTTCATCCAGTCCGTGTTTTCGTCGGCAATTGTCAATGTCTCGTAGATGCATGTAAGTTCCAAAATTTTCTTCAAAATGTTAACACAAATCTCGCGAACTTTTGCATTTGAGTCGATGCATCGAGGAACAATTTTTCCAAGCATATTTCCAGTCTGATGGAACTTAGATGGTGCTTCACATCCTATTTTTACAGTTTTTATATACGAATCGAGTGTCTTTTCCATTATTAATGCAGCACAAATCTTAACTTGTGAATTTTTATCTTTTAACCATTTCTCAAAGATGCTAGTGATGTCATCAAGTGCTGACGGTGATGGATTTCTAGCCAACAGTGTTCTAATAAATGTATTCAGTTCAGGTATTGAACTGTTTATGTGTGGCGCCAAATAGCTTTGTTTTGCCTCATCTTCAATGTTTAAATTCTGCGCAGCAGTAAAAAAGTGCTGTGACGAAATATCCAATAAGTTTGTTGCATCCAAATTGCCATTCTCGATTGGTGACAACTTGACGAGATTTGTTGCAAGCTTAATGACTGTTGGATATAGCGGTAAATAGTCATAAAATCCATAATTTCCATAGTTTTGATTATTTGATCCACTTCCCATTGAATTCTCAATTGGGATGTTTAAGATTGATGCCAATAAGTCATTAATATACTTAAAGTCTTTAATCTGTTCCTCAATATAGATTTCAGTGATTTTCAACAATGTTTCTAAAATTATTTTCTTAATTTGACATTCTCTTACTTCCGAAAGCATGCGATTTAAATAATAGATTATTTTGTCATTCAAATCATCATCATTTTTGATGATATTTTGTGGTGCTGTTGTTTGCGTGATATAATAAAGACTGAATATTATTAAAATCTTAAGTCGGTACTTTTCGCCTTCCTTTTGTGAATCTTTAGTAAAATTTAAGCTTGAAAAGAAGGAATTGGACTTTTTCATGCCATCTTCAGCTATTATATTCTCAAACTTCTTCATAAGCAAGTCAAAATGTCCTTTAGATATGAATCCAAAAGCTTTTGCTGGATCAAAGAACTTTTCTTCAAATTCATGGAAACTTGGGATTTTCTCCAATTTCTCTATCTTAACTTGATTCAAAATTATATCAATTTTAGTGTCAATTGATGGCGGATCTGTGACATAACAGAGACATAATCCCATAATTCTCATCAACATTCCTCGTTCTGCACGTAAGTTTTGTACAATTAGTTCAGTATTAAGTTGATTCTGATTGCTTGGATGAATACTATAGATGTGGAAAGATGATTGATACAAGATAAATTGGTCTGACATTTTGTTGACTAAAGATTCTGAGAATTTTGGTTCATCAATGTCTTTAATCGTGTCCATAATGAAGATATTTAGATCTTTGTAGAATTTGTCGTCATCATTAATCTTTACAATCTCCATGAGCTGATTAATCCTTTCTTTCCAGAGAACTTGCAAGTGCTTGCCTGACAAATTAGGGCAAAATTGAAGTAGGAAATTCAAAATCGACTTGATCCTTTCCTTATCATCAAAATTAGCCATTAACACCAAACAACGAACAAAAATAGATTCAGCGGATGGAATTTTCAAACTGTCACCACCAGTAATAGATTCAGTACTTGCCGCCATACTTTCAGCATCATCCTCAGCAGCACTAGTAAACATTTTATCATCCTTCATAAATAAAGTCGTTAAGCACTGAGCAAATGTCGTAGTTGCATCTGTGTATTCATACTGCATAAAAACATGCAATAACTCGGTCTTGAGTAATATTTCCAGTCCATTATTCAATGTTCTCGATAATATTTTTAATGTATTATTGCATGACCTCACAAGTTCAGCAGCTTCCTCTTTCGTGCCTTGATCTGCTTGAATTTTAACCAGATGACAGCAATGATGAATAATAAATTTAATGAATATTTTATGCTTGATAAATCCTTTCTGTGCGAATGCAACGATAGAGCGTAAAATTATCTGTTTTGTCTTGAATGTTTTCTCGCTCATTATCATCTGACGCAGAATTATGAGATATTCATTTACTTTTAATTTTACAACATCCTCAGACGTATTTGTTAAATGAGTAAGAAGAATTAAAGCTTTAACTTTTTCACTATCATCGTATGCCTTAAATTTCACCAAAATCATGTCATTAACCTTATCGCCATGATTTCTAGCAACTAAATCATAACATCTCAAAACTTCATTGTGTGATCGAACAGCTATTGGTTTCTCAAAATCAGGAGAAACGCAGATCAAATCAAAGATTGCATTAGCTACAGAGTCAACTTGTGTTTCTAATAATCGTCCATCTAATCGTGATGTAGTATGTATAACACTATTTAAATATATGCTGATCGATGACCTATCTATTGACCTCTTGTACATCATCAACAGTGTATGTATAATCTTGCCAGTATTATCAAGAACTTTCTGAATAGGCAACAACGGATAAATGTATGATAAGACGATGAGAAACTCCGAGCATAATTTTGAGTTTCTTGTATTTATCCATTGCTGCATAAAAACATCAAAAATTATGCCAACTTCTGCAGACACATCGACTAATTTTGATTTTGGAATAACTTCTGCTTCTTCGTCTTCGCTCGTTACTACGTCCGGTTCATTTGAAAGATGTGAATTATTGGAACTACGATCGGCATTCGATTGATACTCAGAAATGGCATCACAAAAGTTTTGTATAGCCAAAGCATATGATTGCTTCTGAAAATCTGTTTTTAGTAATGAGATCATTGGAATTATTGTCCCTAAAATTCCTTTAATGTAAGTTACAGCCTCATCTAAATTTGATCTGGTTAATGTGCCGAGAGTTTCAAGGACCATGAAATGTCCAACTTGATGTGGTTGCAAAATTGCTGTTAATTCATCCATAACAAGCATGCAATGCTCTCGTCCAATTCCACATAGTATTTCTTTACATGGCTTTTGAATCGAATGTACTGGCTCATTTTGTCGTGTGATTTCACTAATTACGAACTTTATTACATTGATAATGACTTCATTTTCCAACTCTCGAATATGAACTGTGATAACATGCTCAATTATCCTGATACAAGCAAAACAAATTCGATTATGTTATTGTGAATTTTAGAGTCATAAATGCGTAGATTACCTTAAAATTACAGCGATAATGTGTTCACTTATTTTCGGGTTCTTCTTCTTATAATTTATGACATAGTTTATTAGTTCATTTGGATTTCTACTAGCAATTCTCACGAGTGAAGCCTCACAAACGCCTTTAACTTGGTCATCTTTGTCATTACATAAATCCAATAAATTTCCAACAGCATCTAAATAAATCACAATTGATTGATTATTACGCAAATCTGGTCTATTAAAAGGATTTTCTATTCTCGCGAACATATTATTATTACTGACTACACGTCTACATCTAACGACATTAAACCGATTAATGAGAAAAATGTATGAGAATGACTCATTATAGACAAAAACGAGAGCTTTCAAGTACAAAAATAATCTAAACATAGTCGAATTACATTACTCACTCTCTAGATTTTTATTTGTTGGCTTCTTTGTGAATGTACTCGATGAATCGTCCATTTGATAGACTCAGAATATCACTTTTTAATGAGAGAATTATCAAATATTCTTTTTAAATCACAAATCTAGAATTTTTCTCTTATCACTGCTTTGTTTTTGTAAACAAAGGATAGACACTTAGGAACTTAATAACTTCCATCTATATTCACACGCTAGGACACTGATTTATTTAATTAAAATGTAATTTTTTAGCTTTTGTTTACTTTCTGCAATTCTTGGAATTATTGGAACTTTCATTGGAAATTCCAGGATCCTTCCAAGAGTTTCCAGTAAAATTAAAATTTCAATTGTTTACATTCTATTATAATTATTCACAAGTCTTGACAATTGTAACAGTACAGCTTACGTGTGAATATAAAAGACTGGAAAGTCTTCACTCAAATTGTTCACATTCTTTTGTTTACATTTTATCAGTCTTTAAGAATTATTAAAAATGTCCTTTAATTTCGATCAATTTAATAGCAATTCGTTGACACAACGCGAGCCAATATCCCGTTCATCAGAGGAAACTCAAATAGTGCCGTCTGGATACGTGCAAATCAAGAAAAATGACGAAACACAAATTTTTCGTAAACAAAAAATGAATATTTCACTTCCAGCAAACATAAATTTCCTAAATGTCTCAAATGACAACATAGCAATTCTTATGTCTGCTCATCTACTGTTTAGAATGAATATGTCGCGTGCTGACTCTCAAACTGATGTTTCACTTGAGAAGTTTATCGTTGGACAGCGAGTTTCAAGAATGTTTTTAGATCAAACGGGAAATCATTTATTGCTCTCTTTAGTTCCCAAATCATCAGGATATAGTTCAGAATTAATGTATTTAAACAGAAATTGCAATAAACCAAAGATTCTGACAAAGGTAAGTTGCATGTAGTGTCATTTTATAGGAACTCGCATTAATTATCCTTTAATTTAGTTTCGTGATCATGAAATCACAGCAATTGGATTTAATTGCGAAAATACATCAAGCATAACAACAGGCAATATACTGTTGGGAACATCTAAAGGATATATCTTTGAGGCTGATATTGGACTCGAAAATGATCGAGTTATTCAAAATAATTTTCGACAGGTAGGCATTAATTCATTAATTTCGTTTATTGGATGTATCAGGAATCTAATCATTTAAGGCATTCGATATTGGGAGAGGAGAAAAAGGGCCAGTAACTGGAATTGGAGTACATAGAGCACAGAAAACAAATAATTTTATAGTTCTTGTGTCTACACTCGATCGTCTCTACAAGTTTCATGAATGTCTCAATGATGACAAGTCACTGTCAAACATTTTTAAGCATTACATGAACGTTCCAGAAGAAGCTAGGGACTATGAACAACAATCCAGTAAATTATCATATTCACAAATGGATTTTATATTGGAAAATAAATATCCGAGAGGATTTGGCTGGTTAACGGAGGCTGGCATATTTTACGGAGAAATAAATCAAATTGCTGATAATCCAAACTTTATATTAAGCAAAAAGACCATAACGTTTCCCGAACAAGATAACGATTATCGAACAGCAAGTTACATTTCAAAGCACCAAAATTTAGTTCCAAGCTCATTTGTACTCACAGACTTTCACATATTGCTGCAGTATTCAGATCATATTACTGCAATATCGCTAATTAGTCATGAAATTGTCTATGATGAATACTTTTCGGACCAACATGGAAAATTAATGGCAATAATTAAGGATGTGAAAAATGGAAATGTCTACACATTCAGCAATAAGACGATATTCAAGTACAAGGTGAGTTTTCATCTTAATTTCAGGTTTTTAACGGTTTTCAAAAAACTGAATTAATTTGTGACAAAATTCAAAATTTTAAGTTCGCTATTTTTCAAATATTTAAAGTCAGTTAAATTTCAATAAAGTTTAATAGTTTTATGTTCATGCTTACCTATTCCAAGATCCACAACGAAAAACGCAATGTGTGGCGCATATATTTAGATAAAAAAGAATTTGAACTGGCTGAAAAATACAGTCGAGATAATCCTGCACACTATGATATTGTTTTATCAAGAATTGGTGATGATTTTTATGAGAGGAAGCTATACATTGATGCATCAAGAGTTTATTCACAGACGAAAAAGAGTTTTGAGGAAGTAACGTTAAAGTTCATGCAAGTGAATGAGAATTTACCATTGATTTATTATCTGAAAAGTCGATTAAATGATTTAAATCCAGCAACTGAAAAGACACAAATAACAATGCTGGTTGTATGGCTTGTTGATCTCTATTTGACTGAAATAAACAGATCATCGTTGACTTCTTTAGAAAGGCAAAAGGAGTATGATGAATTTCTACTACATCCACACGTACAGACATGCTTAAAAGATAATCGAAAAGTTATTTATGATATTATAGCATCGCATGGTGACAATTACAATCTTACATCACTAACGACAATGAATGAAGATTATGAGGATGTCATTAATCATTATATCCAACAAAATGAGTATAGAGATGCACTGGATACACTGAAAATCCCTAAACGTGCTGATTTAATTTATCAATTTGCACCAATTATTATAGAGGAATCGCCAAAGGAAACAATTCAAATGCTTATGGATCGTGGTCGTGGATTAAATGCTGTTAAATTACTCCCAACATTATTATGCATAAAAAGTGATAAGCATCGCACGGAAGTCGTTAGATATTTGGAATTTGCCATACATTCATTAAGTGTTCAAGATCAATCCATTCATAATTATTTAATACAGCTTTATGCTAAGTATAAAGATAGTGAAAAGCTTATGAGCTATTTTGAGACACAAGGAAAGGAATTGTCTATGATTCATTATGATGTTCATTATGCACTGCGATTATGTAAGGAATTTGATGTTAAGCAAGCTTGTGTCTTCTTGATGTGCATATCACTTTTTAATGAGAGAATTATCAAATATTCTTTTTAAATCACAAATCTAGAATTTTTCTCTTATCACTGCTTTGTTTTTGTAAACAAAGGATAGACACTTAGGAACTTAATAACTTCCATCTATATTCACACGCTAGGACACTGATTTATTTAATTAAAATGTAATTTTTTAGCTTTTGTTTACTTTCTGCAATTCTTGGAATTATTGGAACTTTCATTGGAAATTCCAGGATCCTTCCAAGAGTTTCCAGTAAAATTAAAATTTCAATTGTTTACATTCTATTATAATTATTCACAAGTCTTGACAATTGTAACAGTACAGCTTACGTGTGAATATAAAAGACTGGAAAGTCTTCACTCAAATTGTTCACATTCTTTTGTTTACATTTTATCAGTCTTTAAGAATTATTAAAAATGTCCTTTAATTTCGATCAATTTAATAGCAATTCGTTGACACAACGCGAGCCAATATCCCGTTCATCAGAGGAAACTCAAATAGTGCCGTCTGGATACGTGCAAATCAAGAAAAATGACGAAACACAAATTTTTCGTAAACAAAAAATGAATATTTCACTTCCAGCAAACATAAATTTCCTAAATGTCTCAAATGACAACATAGCAATTCTTATGTCTGCTCATCTACTGTTTAGAATGAATATGTCGCGTGCTGACTCTCAAACTGATGTTTCACTTGAGAAGTTTATCGTTGGACAGCGAGTTTCAAGAATGTTTTTAGATCAAACGGGAAATCATTTATTGCTCTCTTTAGTTCCCAAATCATCAGGATATAGTTCAGAATTAATGTATTTAAACAGAAATTGCAATAAACCAAAGATTCTGACAAAGGTAAGTTGCATGTAGTGTCATTTTATAGGAACTCGCATTAATTATCCTTTAATTTAGTTTCGTGATCATGAAATCACAGCAATTGGATTTAATTGCGAAAATACATCAAGCATAACAACAGGCAATATACTGTTGGGAACATCTAAAGGATATATCTTTGAGGCTGATATTGGACTCGAAAATGATCGAGTTATTCAAAATAATTTTCGACAGGTAGGCATTAATTCATTAATTTCGTTTATTGGATGTATCAGGAATCTAATCATTTAAGGCATTCGATATTGGGAGAGGAGAAAAAGGGCCAGTAACTGGAATTGGAGTACATAGAGCACAGAAAACAAATAATTTTATAGTTCTTGTGTCTACACTCGATCGTCTCTACAAGTTTCATGAATGTCTCAATGATGACAAGTCACTGTCAAACATTTTTAAGCATTACATGAACGTTCCAGAAGAAGCTAGGGACTATGAACAACAATCCAGTAAATTATCATATTCACAAATGGATTTTATATTGGAAAATAAATATCCGAGAGGATTTGGCTGGTTAACGGAGGCTGGCATATTTTACGGAGAAATAAATCAAATTGCTGATAATCCAAACTTTATATTAAGCAAAAAGACCATAACGTTTCCCGAACAAGATAACGATTATCGAACAGCAAGTTACATTTCAAAGCACCAAAATTTAGTTCCAAGCTCATTTGTACTCACAGACTTTCACATATTGCTGCAGTATTCAGATCATATTACTGCAATATCGCTAATTAGTCATGAAATTGTCTATGATGAATACTTTTCGGACCAACATGGAAAATTAATGGCAATAATTAAGGATGTGAAAAATGGAAATGTCTACACATTCAGCAATAAGACGATATTCAAGTACAAGGTGAGTTTTCATCTTAATTTCAGGTTTTTAACGGTTTTCAAAAAACTGAATTAATTTGTGACAAAATTCAAAATTTTAAGTTCGCTATTTTTCAAATATTTAAAGTCAGTTAAATTTCAATAAAGTTTAATAGTTTTATGTTCATGCTTACCTATTCCAAGATCCACAACGAAAAACGCAATGTGTGGCGCATATATTTAGATAAAAAAGAATTTGAACTGGCTGAAAAATACAGTCGAGATAATCCTGCACACTATGATATTGTTTTATCAAGAATTGGTGATGATTTTTATGAGAGGAAGCTATACATTGATGCATCAAGAGTTTATTCACAGACGAAAAAGAGTTTTGAGGAAGTAACGTTAAAGTTCATGCAAGTGAATGAGAATTTACCATTGATTTATTATCTGAAAAGTCGATTAAATGATTTAAATCCAGCAACTGAAAAGACACAAATAACAATGCTGGTTGTATGGCTTGTTGATCTCTATTTGACTGAAATAAACAGATCATCGTTGACTTCTTTAGAAAGGCAAAAGGAGTATGATGAATTTCTACTACATCCACACGTACAGACATGCTTAAAAGATAATCGAAAAGTTATTTATGATATTATAGCATCGCATGGTGACAATTACAATCTTACATCACTAACGACAATGAATGAAGATTATGAGGATGTCATTAATCATTATATCCAACAAAATGAGTATAGAGATGCACTGGATACACTGAAAATCCCTAAACGTGCTGATTTAATTTATCAATTTGCACCAATTATTATAGAGGAATCGCCAAAGGAAACAATTCAAATGCTTATGGATCGTGGTCGTGGATTAAATGCTGTTAAATTACTCCCAACATTATTATGCATAAAAAGTGATAAGCATCGCACGGAAGTCGTTAGATATTTGGAATTTGCCATACATTCATTAAGTGTTCAAGATCAATCCATTCATAATTATTTAATACAGCTTTATGCTAAGTATAAAGATAGTGAAAAGCTTATGAGCTATTTTGAGACACAAGGAAAGGAATTGTCTATGATTCATTATGATGTTCATTATGCACTGCGATTATGTAAGGAATTTGATGTTAAGCAAGCTTGTGTCTTCTTGATGTGCATCTTAGAATTTTGGCAACAAGCTGTTGAACTTTCGTTGACTTTTGACTCTAAATTAGCACAACAAACAGCTTCGCAGCCAAATGATCGTGAGTTGAAGAGAAAACTGTGGTTGACAATAGCTGAATATGAAATAAGAAGAAAGGAAAATGTGCAGGAAGCTCTGGAACTGCTTAGAACTACAGATTTGTTAAGAATTGAAGATTTACTGCCATTTTTCCCCGATTTTCAGAAAATTGATCATTTTAAAGAGGCAATTTGTGATTCTTTGAAGGAATACAATCGTAAGATACATGAGCAAAGGAAGGAAATGGAAGAAAGTGCTGAAGCAGCAGAAAATGTGAGGAAATCTATTCAGGCATTCAAAAATCGATCTGTGACTATTTCTGGACAAGACAAGTGTTCTTATTGTGGTGTTTTTCTGCTTCTCAAGCCATTCTTCTTGTTTCCATGCAGCCATAAGTTTCACAGTGATTGCCTCGAGAAAAATTTACTGGAACTATTTAGTATGTCTAAATTTGCTAGTTTCTATCATTCAATAATTTTATCTTATTAATATTTAGAACCAGAAGAAGGCCAGAAACTCCAAAAACTCAAACAGAAGCTTTCATCACTGTCAACACAAATAGAAATATCCAAGAACCAAAACAATTCTATTCCAGAACAAATTATAGCTGCACGAGATCAACTTAAATTAGATATTGAAAATATATTGGCAGCCGAATGTACAATGTGTGGAAGTTTGATGATACAGCAGCTTGACAAGAAGTTTTCAAGCTCTAATGAACAGTGGTAAAATTCTTGTGGCTGAATATTCCAACGGAATTTGAAAATTCAAATTTTATCGGATTTTTGAGATCCAGTTTTGAAGATCCAGCCAGGCAAATGAAGTCACAAGTCATCGCCTATAAAATAACAGTCAAATATTACTCATCCTAATTATTATTATATCAATCATGTCCATTAGCTAAATATTGCTTTATTATCAATCTAAATAAAATAATACGCATTATTTACTCAACATGGAACATCTTCTTCATCATCTTCTGGAATGAATGCTTGTTTATGTACGGCGTAATGATCACGTAGTAAGCTCTTAAGTCTGAATGATTCGTCACAGTTATCGTAAGTGCATTTGTAGACATTTTCTCCACCCAAATGGAATTTTCTATGTTTTAACAAATCATTCGATTGAGCATAAGCCTTGTCACAGCCAGGCTGGTCACATTTGTAAGGCTTTTCGCCTGCAATGGAAGTTATTAATTATTAGGGTTTATTTTAAGCTTCAATTAAATTACCACTGTGGGTTCTAAAATGTCTCTTGAGATGTTCAGCACTTGAGAATCTCATAGAACAAGTCGAGCATGGATGTTCCTTTATTCCTACATAAAAATTAGTGGTTTATGGATTTTGGTATATGTCAGGATTATAAAAACTTACCTTCGTGGATGGTTCGTACATGCTTCTTTAGAGAACTTCCCTTTGTGAACGAAGAGCCACAAATTTGACAGGTGTGACTTTTGATTCCTTCATGGGACCTAATGTGCGATTGCAGAGATGCTGTAAAGTTTAAAACTATTAACTTTTAATTTTACAAATCATGAAAAGCTCCTACCTTTGCAAGAAAACTTTCCAGGACATAAATGACATTCAAATTCCTTTAAATTCATGTGCCTTTTAACATGTTGACGAAGATTTGATGGATTATTAAATGACTTTCCACAAGTGCTACATAGAAATGGTTTTTCCTGACTGTGCGTCCTTAAATGATCTTTTAAGGTCGATGACTGCTGAAAGGCTTTATTACATACATGACAAACGTGAGGTCTGACATTATTGTGGCGATTCAGATGGTCGATTAGATGTGATCCTTGTGAAAACATTTTTGAACAAATCTACAAATGAAGTTATAAGTAACAATAGTTATAAATGTTGAGGAAAGACTCACCTGACATTTATAGTTCTTATTTTCTGCATGAGTTCTCGAATGTCTGCAAATGATACGTTCAATTAGTTACATGATAAAACCAATATTACTGCCAAAACTTTACCTAGTCAGCTCATTAAGTTTCTGAAAGACTCGATCGCATAAATTACATGGAAATTCAATCTTCTCCATTTCATCTTTATGAATCCTCATGTGTGAGGCCATTGTTGTTTGTGTATCAAACACTTTACCGCACATGATGCAAGGCCATTCTTTTACGTCTGGTCCAATTTTTAATGTCATTCCAGAATGTATAATTTTGTGTCTTTCAAGTGATTCAGCCGTTTGGAATCGTTGAAAGCAATCGTCACAGGCGAATGGTCTTCTATTGACATCATGAGTCTTTTCATGCCTAGCAAGTTTCGATGGTTTTTCAAACATTTTCAAGCAAGTTTTACATTGATGCCTTTTTACTCTTTTGGGTTTTTTATCTTCTTTGACATCCTCCTCATCTAGTTCATTCTTGCCTTCTATTAATTCTATGTCTGGTTTGATCATTGAAACGTCATGAACCATCATTTTCATACTATAATCTTCATCATCGTAATCTATCTGTTCTTCTTTTATAATTACATCAGATAGCATCAAATGAAGCTCTCGTTCGGATTGAGCACTCCTTTCACATAGATCATGTGCATTATGCAGGATATTATAGCAATTTTCACAAATATATTTTGATAATTTGTCATCTTTAAGTACGGTAATTTTAAAACAGAATTTTCGAATGACATCCACAACTGGACTTTCTTCTATGTAAGAATCAAAAAGCGATTTAGGATTCTCTGTTATTTCACTGACACAAAGTCTGCACAAATCCTTTATTTGATCCATTTTTAAGATTTTTCAGATTTTCTTGTGTTATTTACATTTACGATTAAAGTCTTCCACGTACGAAACTTTTGGGGTACGACTTTAAAATCTCGTTTATTTTTTCAATTTTTTGAAATTATCATTAACGGTTTTTGAGACGATTACTTTAATAAATTTGCAGTTATTAAGATCTTCGATGATTGTCATGCTATAATTAACATTTGCTGATAACTATCAAGCAATTTTACATTAGTTCCATTAGATCCAGTTCTTAATTGCTCATTCTTTCGTCAATTGTCAAGTAAACATGAAGTTCCGTAAAATTCTAGGATATGAACCGACTGAAAACCAAGGCAAACTGAGCTTCATTCTATGGAGATGTATTCAGACATTCATTTATATTGGATATATGATATTTTTCTTCATTAATCGAGACAAAATCGTGTATAGAGATGATTTGTGGGGTAAAACAGCTGACTATTATAAATCCATGATATCCTTCACCAGTGCCTTTGTAATAGTTGTGGAACCGATGTTTAATTATCATAATTACAAAGCCTTTCAGGAGCGATTGAAGTCTTTTCACAAACTGCTTAATGAAAAAATTGAGAATTTGGCTGATGTTAAGAAGATCCAGAATGAAATAATGAGGAAATTAAGGAACATAATTGTGTCATTTATGGTCATTTATATTCTTTGTGAAATCAACAATTTCTATCGATCGATGAAAATCGAACAAACTAGAAACATCTATTTCTGCTTTTTCATCATTACTATCCTCCTTTATTCTAAAGTTTGGTTCATTGTGCATCGCCTGCTCATCATTAATGAGTGCTTAGTGATTTTAATTAAAGCAATGCAGTTTATTAACCAGGAACTGGCAAATAATGATAAGCTAGACTCAAAAGTTTACAACAAGATGATTCATGATAAATACTTGGCTGTCATCAACTTGTACAAGCTGGTTCAAAAAATGGTGGGAATTTTTAATGATTTAGGATTTCCTCAACTTGTTATTTTACTAGCTATCAAGTTGTACTTGATGGGTGACTTCTACTGGATTTCTCTAGTGACTATGCACAATAGGATTCGAATGGCTGTTACTTATAGTAAGATTAGTTTCTATTTTAAATGATGTGCTGATTTGATTCTCATTTCAGCTCTTTTGGTTGCAAGTTTCCCAAAGATATTAATTCTATTAATTCAAGCTTATTTATCAGAAAGGATTAATGTTCATGTGAGTAAGCGTAAGGCTTAAGAGTGACAATGCATAACAAATAATCCATTCCAGAACTCAAAGATCATTAACTTGATCCACAAACAGCAAATTGTCAATAACAAGCAGCAGCCGCTAACTGAACACTTTATTTACACTATTTTGATGGACAAGTTAGAGATTTATCCTGTTGGAGTCGTCAAATTTGACTATTCAACATTACGTGATGTAAGGGACAGAAATTGCTGATTGTACAAATTAATTTTATTAAAAAATTCTAGGTGGCAATTGACATCATGCAAGCACTCTTCATTTTCATTCAACTCATTCCTATATACTTTAACTTGTCATAAGTAGGCTTAATGAGTTATTAAGATAATATGTTGCACCTCCAAAATGTCTGTCATACTGCAATGAATTAAAGTCAGTTTGGTACAACAATTAATTTATTGCACTTTTAAATATTATATGCTTTGGATGTCTTACAAATATTAAAAGTCAAAAAATGGATTTTTATCCGAGAATGTATACTCATTTGTGGTATTTCCACCTCTTCTGTCTGTCGGAATTGATGAAAATTGAATAAAAATAACCTAAAAATAAAACACGTTTGGCATGATCTAGGCAAATAATATAAAAATCTTTTAGCTACCAAATAGGTAAGCAGCGCATTTATAATTGCAACAAATAATCGGATATCAACATCAAACAAGCTGTTGGCTCTAAACTTAATCTTTTGTTGATGAATTTGCAACGAAAAATGATGAATCTAAATTAAGAGTAAATCAGGACATGGTGCTTCCTAATGTCAAGTAGACTTACCAATTTGAATAGTTTCACATCATTTTTGTTTCTTCGGATAGAATGCAGCAAGACTGGAATTTTAGATCCTTTAATTTCCACCTTTTCAGCTTCATTAAGGCAAAAGTAGATGTACAGCAGTGGTATAGATGCAGACAAAAAAACAGCAATGTGTGCATCCTCCTGATAATAGTCAGAAAATGATGTGTGCATCCAATAATAATCACATCCACTTTGAATGTACTCATGGATGATTAATGTAGCTAATGAGAATGCATTGATGTCATTTATGATGGAAACTGTTGTGTACAAGTTCCAGTAAGCATTTTTAACCACTTGTAGTAGGTTTAGAACTTTAGGTACGTGAGTTGAAGTTAGGTTCCAATGAGTAAAATTTACAATATTTTCTAGCTGATCATTCAGAACTTCAACTTGTAGATTCACTTGACTAACGTAATAGAAATATTGTAATAGTCTCATTCGACATGCCAAGACAGGAATGAGGTTGAATATCCAAAAGTATTGCCATTGACGAGAAAATCCAATGCTGTATATTATAATAACTTCCATACATATTGTAATCAACAACATGGTCAGGAATTTGATTCCAAAATGAAGCCTTAAATTCTGATAATATTTTGGATATTTCACTTTAAGGACGGCACAAACTTTTTCAAATTTTAGTAGCTTGCGATAAATCTTTTCTTTCTTTTTCTGATTAATTAATGTTTCCACCAAACTGACACTATATGCTAGAAATACAGTTGCAAATTTGAGTCCATCATTAGCTTTTCCAACATACGTCTCAGTTAAGAGAATTTCATGGAAGTTTATTCCAATTCCAGCACCTACAATCACTGCAAACAGTAACAAAAATGTCCATAACTTTAAGTACGCCTTTAAAAGTACGTAATCCATCTTAAATCCAGGTAATGGAATCAAATTAAATCCGATGACTTGGAAAATCAATTTTGAAAGTTTTTCAACTTGCAGGAAAAATTTTCCTTGATTAAATTTAAAAGACAATTTTATGTGACGTGGCATGGTCAACAAATGAAGCTATGCAAAGATTAAAACTTGAATAAGAACATCAATTTATTAAATTTATTACATTTAAAATGTTTGAGTGTCATTTGACAAATATGCACAAAGATAATTTATTAGAGCAGACAATTATGTTGATTACATCCATTAAAGAGATACCATCAGTAGTATCTAGATTGTGATCTTCCATTCTAAACAATAAAGTTCAAGTTTAAGCTTGAAGCAGTTATTGTAAACTTCCTTACATTAGATTTATCCTTCTGTTCTTCTGCCAATGTTGAAAATTGTATGAAAAGAATCTAAAAATTAAGGAATTTAATTTAAGCACAAATCATAAATTGCGAGAGCTATTCTACCAAATAAGTCATCAATCCACCTACGATTGAAACAAAGAGTTTGAGGTTAATGTTGGCAATACTACTTGAATGAAGTTCAATCTTTTCTTGATGAATTTGAAGTGAGAAGTAATGAATCTGGAAGTAAATGAACGAATTTGTTAATTCTTTGTATTTATCAACAGCAGCCTGACATATAGACACATCCCAAATTATTCTTACAATTTGATAAAGCTCTGTATCAACCTCATTCTTCTTAATTGAATGCAGCAAGTCTCCAATTTTTGATGCCTCACATTCTATCAACTCAGCTTCATATAATGGTAAAAACATGAAAACTGTTGGACCAAATGCTGATATATAGGCTGTGCATAAATTGACATCTATACTGTCAGTCAATGATAAATAAATGTAATAATATTCAGTTCCACTTTCAATGAATTCATGAATAAAATTGAAATTGATTGAGAAGCAGAAGAACTTGTTGGTCGCTTCTGTAATTTTGTAGAGTTGCTGATAAAAGTGCTTTAAAATTTGCAGTCTCTTGGATATGAAATCAGTTTCAGCTTTTGTAAAACATTTGGATGAATATAAAGCAATCATTTTCATTTCCTGATTGATCATTTTTGTGTAGAATCGGATCAAGTTCAGGTAATAAATGTACTGCATTGTTCTTAGCCTACAAGCAACAATAGGTATGACAATCAATAACCAGTAGCATTTCCACTTATTTGTAGTCACTGTCGACACAATTTGAACTTCCACAATACAGACAAGAACTGCCATTGTAATGAATTTAAAGATGTAAGTTTTTCTCATTTGAAACTGAAATTTATTAAAATTTACAATTCTTTCAAAGCCTTTGCATAACATTTCAAGTTTGCGTAGACTTCTCCATCTAAGATTAGTTTCAATGACATTAATTGAGAATGCAGCATAGACAGTAACAAATTTTAAAATATCATTTGCTTTTCCGATTATAAAATTGCTGAATATATCCTTTTCATTGCATACAGCATATGAAATATAAAACAATATCCCGCTAATAATGGCAGATGACCAAACTTTTAAGAATATTTCCACAAGCTTTTTGTAGGTATCAGTTTCAAATGAAGAGATCGGGAAATACCCAAATAATTGAAGCAATAATTTTAATAGAGCTTCAAAATATTTGTAGATTTGAACCTTTTTCATGATGAGAATCTACTACTGAACTGTATGATGTGAACACATTAAATGCACAGCTTTAAGTAATTAGCTTTAAGCTTGGGTGATTTGTTATAAGAATATTTCATTTCAGGCAATTAAAAGATAAGGACAGTCGCTAATGAATTTAGATATTTTAAAATTTAGATTCAGAATCTATCGCTACTCAGAAGCTACTTATTTCAAGCGCCACCTACACGTCAAACGACGAATTATGGAATATGAAACCTGAAAAAAAAAATTTGGACTTAAACATACATTTGTGAACTTGGAATCTTTAATTTGGTGTCAATTTCTTATTATCATTACTTCCCACATTTCTTTTTATGTCTAGCAAGGATAATTTTGTTCTTAAACTCCTCAAAACAATTTTCACATTTTATGTCCTGATCACTTTTTGTATGATTTGAAAGCCTATGGTAAGCTAATGCTGATTTAGATGCAAACTTCTTCTTACAATTATCGCAGGCAATGTCTTTAGATTCTTGATTGTGTTTGCTCTTCAAATGCTGCTCAAAAGTCATCTTATTCACAAATGTTCGATTGCATTGTTCACATGTTGGAACTTCATTTGTATGCTTTTGCTTCCTATGCTTGAATAATGATGAGTTTTGTTTGAAACTTAGGTTGCATTCGGTGCATTCAAATCTTTTAACAGTAGAATGGGAACTAAGATGAGTAATGAGGGTGATCTTTTGGCTGAATTTTTGGTTGCAGACGTCGCACTCAAATCTTTTCTCATCGTGACTCTCTAGATGTCTTGTGTACGACCGATATTTTTTAACAAATCCTTTACAGACATAGCACTGATATCGAACTTCCTGCTTTGGATGACTAGTCGCAAAATGCTTTAAAAATAGAAAATTCCCAGCCATCTGCTGATTGCATAAATAGCAGTCAAATCTGTCATATCTGTTGCGCTTTTTTGATACATTAAGTCCTAAATCCATCTGTTGTTCATCTTTGATCGCAAATGAATTATCAGCCTCGATTGTCACATCATAGTTCTCCTCATCTCTAGCTTCTTGTGAAATTTCGTCTTCTGTAACTATTTGAATTTGTGGCTGCTCATTGTCCTCTGAAGTCAATTCCTCTATGATGAAATATCGTTCAGATGGATCAGTTTGAGTTGAGATTTCAGTCTTAGGGATTGGCATTTTGGGAGGAACTATTTCACTAAGTTCAGGCTTTTCATTAAAAAGAACTTGTAGGATGACTTGATTCTCATTTGACTGGATGAAAAATTCATTAAAATTATTCAGCTTGGACAGGCATTCGAGGCATATTCGGTTTGGTAATTGAGATTTTTCAAAGACCTAAAATGATATTTTTGAGATTTTATTTCATCTTCTCAAGCAGTTTTAAGTTACCTTAATTTTAAGTAATTTCAGCAACTTTTCATGAATGTTCAGTGCATTATCCTCAAGTATTGGTATCATTGGTGCTTTCTCCTTTACACATATCCTACATAAAATATCTTGCCGAGCCATAGTTGGGATGAAAAACCAGAGTAAATAAGCTTAAACTGTTTGTTTTTATTTTTCACATTCACACCAAGCACCAACAATGTAGGGATGCATAATATTCAGCATGTGTTCGACTGTCGACAAAATAACGGCAAAAATTGAAATTAACGTTTGTTTACAAACAAAGCAACTGAGTCAGTGGAATTGAAGTAAAATAAATTTAATGAAATTAGAACTGAACAATGACAAGTAATAAAAATGATAAAGTGACTAAGCTACTGCTAACAGCGGCAGGTGTTGGAATCTGTACATTTTTGTTAATAAAACACCGAAAAACGATTGCGAATAAATTTATAAAAGCAAAAGATGTAATTTTCTATGATATTGCGAAAGTGCAGCGAAGAAGTTTCAGTGTACACATCGTAAATGATCCAAAAGACTGTGCTGGAATCATTAATATCCTTAAAGAGTAGGTTTAAAAATTTTAATTTTTGAATATTTTTTAAAACCTCTTTTTCCAGGCACTGTAAGTCATTTAATGTTCTTGGATTCGATTGCGAATGGGTCACTATAAATAATGAAAGAAGAAAGGTTGCATTAATCCAGTTATGCTCTGACAAAGGACTTTGTGCATTATTTCGTGTCTGCAAATTTAATAAAATTCCTTTAGAACTTCGTGAGATTTTACAAGATCCAGAAATCATGAAAGTTGGAGTTGCGTCCATTGATGATTCTAATAAATTATTTCAAGACTTTGCATTGAAAGTGAATGGAACATTTGATTTACGATTTTTGGCTCTACATGCTAATCATAAGCCAGAAGGATTAGCAAAATTATCTAAATCAGTCATTAATATTGAGCTGGACAAAAATTGGAGATTAGTTTGTAGTGATTGGGAAAGTCCAACTCTTTCAAAAGCTCAAATTGATTATGCAGCTAAGGATGCTTTTGTTGCTGTTGAGATTTTCAAGAAGCTGTATAACATTGCTCGTCCTAATATGAATCATCCATCAAAAATTTCACACTTCTGCGACACGTACACTGACATCAGCTTTAAAAACAAACTGGCACAGTTGAATCTTGACCCAGCATGTGAAAATGGAATTGAAAGGCAGTTACTTAATCGAAAAAAGGAGTAAGACTATTTAAGTCTTGGTAATATATTGTGTTCTAATGACATTTATTCACAGGATCAACAAAATTTCAAAGCGAGCGTACACAAAGTCTACAAATCTCTATGATAACTGCTTCCTCCAAGCACCAGACGGTACCCTACTATGTACATGTGATCGTCGAAAAGCTGAATGGTAATTTAATTGATTCATAAAAATATTTTAATATTAAATCTGTGAATTGTGCTAGGTATGTGGCTAAAGGACTTGGAACTACAATGGAAATTGAGCCAACCTTTACAGTTCGATTGAATTTTAAACCAGCTGGCATGCCAGTCGGTGAAGTTGGTGAATATTATCAGACATCAAGAGAAAATAAATGCGTAGTATGTGGACGAGAAGATGAGCTTATTAGGAAGAATGTTGTGCCACATGAATATCGCAAATACTTCCCAATAGTTATGAAGGAGAAAACTAGTCATGACATTTTATTATTGTGCTTTCATTGCCATCAAATATCAAATATGAGCGACATTAAAATAAGAAAAATGTTAGAGGCTAAGTGCGATGCACCAATCTATGAACTTCCTAAAAATCAAGATGAATTGAGGAAGATTAGATACATCCAACGATCAGCAGGAGCGCTTTTAAATAAAAAAGCTAAAATACCCGAAGAAAGAAGAAAGGAATTGGAAAAGGTTGTTCAGGATGAATATCCAAATGATATATTAACTATTGATTTCCTTTATGAAATTGTAAATGAAGCAGAACCAACAATTGAGCATAAGACATCACATGGAGAATTAGTTGTTGAATATTATAAGAAAAACGAAGGACTTATTGAGCTAGAGAAAATTTTTCGACAGCACTTTTTGAATACAATGGAACCACAATTTATGCCAAAACTATGGAATATTAATCATAACGCAAACAGACTAGGAATTCGTGCAATTGAGCAACGAATTGATTTAAAAGATTTGGAAGTAGCTGGAATAAATGAAAAAGTCATTCAGGATGTTCAATCGTCTATTAAGGCTTATTCAGAAAACGAAGCTAATAACTCATCCAATAAACAAGACGATGATTCAATTTCAGTCACATCATTTCAGTCAGCTGCAGAAACACTCAATTATAGCGACAGATATAATCGAACTGATGAAGATAAATACTTCTCAGACACAGGAACTATTACTAGCTTTTATGAAACAATTAGAAGTGATGGTTCAGATTTGACTGATTTTCAGTCATTTGAGAATTCAGCCAACGAAGATTCAGACACATCTACAGCCAAAGGATCGGGTTCTGACACAGAAGTTGAGGAAAGCATATACTTCAATTAAAATCTTTCTTATTATATACTTGTAATTATTTCAAATAAAGGTGCTGGTCAGTTTATTAGTTCAAAATATCAAGAATATTAAAATTTAAATCGACTTTCAGGCTCAATCAAAGATCTTTAAAAAGCTTTAAAAGTCTCAATACTTTAATCTGTTATAACGGTTTTTTAAAATTCAAATTATTAATCAACATGTTTAGGATCACAAAATTAAAGAGTTTTAATAATTTATTTAAATCAATTGGAAACAGAAATGCAGGAATCAACAGCATATTTAGAAGTCTCATATCGTCAAGTCCGAAGCATTTTACAAATGGTAATTAAGTGACAAAAAGGAAGGATAAAGAAATAATCATGTTTATGTATTTTAGAAGAAAATAAAGCATCAAAATACACAACGTTTGAGGACATGACAGCAATAAGGAGAATTGAGGCACAAAAGTCACTGCTGGTGCAAGTAAATTCTGAAAAATCACATAAAGAGCTGTGTAGTTATTGCTCACAATTTGGAAAATTAAGATCAAGCTTTTACTATAATTTATCTGAAGACCTTAATTTCATATTGTTGGAGTTTGATGAGATTTCTGGATGTGAGGAAGCTTTAAGGAGTTCTAGTTTTAATGAAGATCACCCAGCAATTCCAGTAATATCACCGTTTTTGTGGTTTAAAGCAAGAGATTCAAGTAAACCAAAAAGTGTTGATAAAAATAAGGAAGTGCCAAACTTAATACATCAGGAAGTTAAGTGTCTTGACGAGAATAAACTAGACGAAATCTTAACATCAGCAGAAACAATTGACGACCAAATATTAATTTTACATAGACTAACCCAGTTGAATGAGCTTGGAATCAGAATAAGATATTTAGCTGGTCATCAGCTTGAAATGGCATTAAATGGAATGTTTCCAAAGATTCAGGCTTGTTTGTTTGGCTCTTCAGTTAATGGTTTCGGTAAAATAGGATGTGATTTGGACTTGATACTACGACTTAATGATGATTGTGGAGACATTACAGGATCAAGGCTAATTTATCATACAAAAATGAGTCGATTAAATGGCAGATCCCAAACTCAACGTCAAATGGAAGTAATTGGTGATCTCATGCATATATTTCTGCCAGCAATCAATAATGTTCGTAAAATTTTAAATGCACGAGTTCCAATTATTAAGTATAATCATGAATGCTTAGATCTAGACATTGATTTTTCGATGAGTAATATGACTGGATTTTATATGAGTGAATTGCTTTACTTATATGGAGAGATTGATGAACGTGTGAGACCTTTAGTATTTTGTTTAAGGAAATGGGCAAGTGTCGTTGGTTTGACAAATTCTTCGAGTCCTGGAAGATGGATTACAAACTTTTCATTGACTGTGATGGTCTTATTCTTCCTTCAAAATGTTAAAAATCCAATATTGCCATCAATGAGTGTATTAACAAAGTCAGCATCACCAAATGACATAAGAGTTACTGATGATAACATAAACTGTACATTTCTGAGGGATCTCAACAAATTGTCATTTAAGATTGAAAATACTGAATCACTTCATCATCTGCTGCTTCAATTCTTTGAGTTTTATTCGACATTTAATTTTCAACAGAATGGCATTTCATTAATTGAAGGACGTCCAATAGTAAAGCCTGATCATTCAGCGATTTGGATCACAAATCCACTCGAACCATTATTAAATGTTAGCAAAAATGTAAGTTATGAAGAATTAGAGAAGCTTAAATTAGAGACGAGAAATGCAGCATGGATTTTAGAATCAACAATTGATAAAAATAAAGATCCATCGTCGTGGGGCTTAATGAGTTTGTTGCGGTCAAAGAAGCGAGTAGTTAAACCAGAAATGTTTTTTAAGTCACGAATAGTCGATGTAACAGACTTATTTAAAGATGACAGTATAAAGGATTACGATAATATATCGTACAAAAATACAGCAATTAAATCTGCAGTCAAACAAATCCAAAAATCAACTCAGCGTGAAATTACAAAGTTAATGAAGAACATTTAGTTTATAAAGCCTGTAAATAAAGAATAGACATTCGATAAAAAAATGAAACAATGATTTTAAATTGCTAGGGTTTTCATATTGTCTTTAATTGCTCAGAAAACAAAATTTATTCAAAGTTAAGGTTTGAAAGCCATACAAAAGTCCGATTTGTATGGAACAACATGCTAAGTCTCTAATCTATTCAATAAACATTAGATAATTTCGTATATATTTATTTTTTAAAGAAAAATAATAATTCTTTCTCTTTTAGGTTTAAGTGAGTCACAGAAATTCATTAAAACAAAATAAATTTTCTCATAATTTTTTTTAAGGAATAATAGTTTTAATAGTTGCTCTCACTATGAGATTATTTACAACTTTGTTGCCAAAATAGATTCATAAATTGCATTTGCGACATATTTAACATTCTTTTCATTAAGTCCACACATGTTAATACGTCCACTGGCGAGTAAATAGATGTGATATTTCTCAATCATGATTTTAACTTGTTCCTCGTTCAGACCTGTGTATGAGAACATGCCAATTTGATTTGTGATGTGCTCCCATGTTCCTGGTGTTCCTAATTTTTCAAGTTCTCCTCTCAACAGACTTCGCATTTTGATGATTCTTGATGACATTGTTTTTATTGATTCCATCCATTCTTGTCTTAATTCTGCATTATTGAGTACTTTTCCAACAATACGACCTCCAAATGCTGGTGGATTAGAGTACATGAAACGAACAAGTAAAGTCATACGAGATTGAATTGCTGCAGTTGTTGCTGGATTTCTTTGAACGACAGTCAAATTTCCAATACGCTCATTGTATAATCCAAAGTTCTTGGCAAACGACTGTGCACAGAAAAGTTCAAAGCCTCTCTCGACAAAATATCGGACAGCAAAAGCATCATGTACTGGATCACCGGAAGCAAATCCTTGATAAGCTGAGTCAAAGAATGGGAATAATTTCTTTTCTTCAATGACATCTGCAATTTTAACCCATTGTTCCTTTGTTGGATCACAACCAGTTGGATTATGAGCACAAGCATGTAAAATGATTACAGAGCCTTCGGGTGCCTTTTTCAAATCCGAAATAAGTCCATCAAAATCAATTCCACGCAATTGTGGATCCCAATACCTGTAGTAATGTCCATCAGTAAACCCAGCACTGAGGAATACTTTCTGATGATTCTCCCATGTTGGATCCGAGTAATAGAAAGTTCGTCTACCCATTACAATTGCGAGAAATTCAGCTCCCAATCGTAAAGCTCCAGTTCCTGACAATGTCTGAATACCAAAAGCATTTTTATTCTTAATTTGAAGTGAATCTTCGCCAAGTAATAATCCAGTTGCTGCTGCTGCATAAGTATCTAATCCAAGAACAGGCAAATATTCATGATTTAATGTTGCATCATCTACAACTGCCTTTTCAGCTTTCTTAACGACAGGCAGAACCCATGGCTTGCCTTCTTCAGTGCGATAAGCTACGAATAAAAATGGAAGTATGTGTTATCAGATATTTTATTGAAGAGAATCAATTGCTAAGGATTTGGAACTGATTAGTTCCGTACTCTTAGTCAATTTACTGTTGAGCATTCAGACAGGGAATTCCAATACATAATCATTGTATTTCATTGTTACAATTTGGCACGTTGGGTTTCTATCATCATATTTGCTCAACAGTCTAGTTCGATGGATATAAAGTAATACTTCAAATAAACAAGATAGTAAGGTCAATGATCTTGTTCAATTCATGCAACCGATGAACCGGCAAATCATGACAGTTTGAATTTCTTAATCCACTGTAATGATATTTTTCAATAAAAATCAGTGCTAGTTGCAACGATTCGTGCATATAATATTAGTAAAGTCGTGTAAATTGCTTGAAAAGTCGTCAATCATGGAAAAACAATTTATCTGTTACACATTCGCTGTTGTTGTTAAGTGAAAAAAATCTATATGCGTTATCTAATCATAATAAGAGCAAAAGTGGCTATAATTCACTTGGAATCATATTAATCTATGAGGTTTCATTAAAATCATCTTAATTATCTAAAAATAATCTGTAACCTTGAAGTAACCTTCAGATAAGGCACGCCGAAAATTTCACTTAATTTAAGCATAATTAACGGATGTGGATCATTAAAACTTTAGTCTATTTGAAGTATTTATTAATTTTATGATGTAATCAATATTAATTTACCTCCAACTCCTAAATTAACTTTGTCACTGCATGTATCTTCCAAAAATGCTTTATTTAATGCAAATACTTCGATCGGTGCACCTTTTTCAACTCCATCAAAAATGCTTGCCATTATTAATTAATTTAAATGCACTAGCGTTTAATACGGAGGTCTTAAATGGAATAAAATTGAATAAATGCCTTTTATGCTCAGCACACGAAAATTTTGTCAGGGATTTTGAAGTTTAAAATTGCGATAATAATTTCAAATTATTATTGACGGTTGATGGAAGATTTTTATGAGATTTTCATTTTAATCATTTTAATTAGCTTCATTTCTTTGCAATCTTCGCACAACAGCCTTCCTTTGGTCTCTCTTTCATGACTGCTTTTATCATGGCATATTATGTGCACTAATTTAAGATTCTTAACAGTGAATATCTCCAGAAAGTATGTAATGACAGATAAACTTGTAAAGCTTTTAGCATGTGCCTCACATTTGAGGTTCTTTTCCATGCACAACTTTTCAATATTCTTTAAAATTGATGGGAATATGCTTCTTGAAATCTCAATTTGATGATCCAGGTTGAATATTTGGAAGAGAATTAAAGCTTCACGAGTCGAGTATGGATTAATCTTATGATCATACGTACAATTGTCTGAATTCCAAGATCCATGACAATTGAATATCCCTAAATCATTGCAAAGTGATACTAGATACTTCTCAAACATTTTACTTCTTTTAATCTTCAATTTTGTATCCTCATCCACTTTTCTCCTCTTTACAAACGTCTTAGCATCGATTTCATCAGATGGAAAGAACTTTATATCATGTGAACGATCAAAAAGGCATTCAAAGAAGTCAACTCCTGAGAGGAAGGTAAAGAAATCTGTAAGTAAGTCATCGATAATCTTGCGACCTTCAGAGTTTACTTGATAAATGCGCGACTTTGTGAGTTCATCTTTTGTTTTATAGAAATATCCTTTAATACGATCTTTAGCCTTTGTTCTCATAATTGCTTCCTTTGTGACATTCTTCTTACTGTCTAAACTTGAGAACCATTCTGGATGACTTTCTCGGTCCGAAACTTTAGTTTTCTCCTCCATCTCATTTTGGAGCTTTATCACAGTCATAATTAAGTCTTCATTTTTATTATTTGTAATAAAATTGTTTATCAAGTCACGAGCATTGAATGTTTCATGATTCGTTTTACGAAATAAATCAAAAATCACATCAAAATCTGAGAAATTATATGATCTTTATTATATGATATGAATTACGTTAACATGTAGCTGACTTACCAGTCTTGTATGTTTCACCATCCTCAACTATTATTATAGTCGATTGGTTTGGGATGGTTTTATAAAACTCCTCATTTATCAAAGCATCGTCATAAAATAATTGAAAATCTTTAATTTTGAATTTCTCCCCTATCTTTTCATTTAAACCTTTTAAGGAATCTGATGCTATTCCATACTTTTTACTTCTATCTGAATTTTTACATACTTTAAAACCTTTAATTATATTTTTATTAAAGAAATTGAACATTTCTTTATGCTCATCACAGCTAACCTAAATAAGGTTCTAAAACTGTAAACTGCGGGAATTTCAAGCATGCTTGTGCTATGTGCTGCACGGAAAGTGATCTAGATTGAAGAAAAATATTCATATTTTAGATGGGCGTGGGTTGATTTTGAACCCAGAACAACGAACTTATGGTGCAATTTTAAAGTAAAGCAAAGCTTTTAAATGAACCAAATTGAATTCTTTGAAATGAAAACTTAGATTTGAAAACTGTACATCTTTTTCAAATCTAGATCAGTATCTATCGCAAAAACTTTGAGAATCATTGGAATCATCCAAAAGTAAACAATAACACATTAAGACGAATTTAAACGACATGACAGAAGATACAAGTCATTTAAATCCATCAAAACTGGGAACTAAAGAATACTGGGATACAGCATATGAAACGGAAATTAAGAATTATGCAGATAATGGTGATATTGGCGAGATTTGGTTTGACGAAAGCTCACAAACAAGAATTATTAAATGGCTTAAGAAACACAAAATCTCAAAAGACTCTTCAATTATTGATTTAGGTAAGAACATAATTTTGTTAAATTAATAAATGATAACTGATTAATTTAACTCTTAGGTACAGGAAATGGAGCAATGCTTTTGGAACTATTTGATGAAGATTTCACGAATCTTACTGGATGTGATTATAGCGAGAAAAGTATTGAACTAGCAAAGCAAATAGCAAGCGATAAAGATTGCGATTGTATAACATATAAAGTCATTGATCTCTTATCCGACAATGTAACATCTTTAGGAACTTTTAAAATATGCCACGATAAAGGAACATTTGATGCTATTGGATTAATGGAAGATTCAGCAGTTAAAAAGGAAATATACGTGAAAAATGTTTGGAATCTAATAGAAGACAATGGACTGTTTATCATAACGTCCTGTAACTTTTGTGAAGAGGAACTAGAAAAAAGTTTTCACGATTACTTTGAGAAATTTGAAGTAATTCCATCCCAGACATTTCAATTTGGAGGGAAAGTTGGTAAAACAACTACATCTGTTTGTTTTAAGAAGAAAACGTTGTAAATTTATTCATTACCTACCTCAAATCCCTTAATTAAATTACGATTTTAATGATACTTTAAATATTGTTTCATTTTCAAACGTTGAACCTTATTAAAGTTTGATTGACATTGTATTAAAGACAAAATATTCTAACTTATGTTGCAAATTTCTTAACCCATGAATCATTTAAAGTTACTTTTCCTTCATCGATCTATTTCCTTTTTGATAAACATAAACTTTCATAGATTATTTTATAAGTAATAAAAAACATAGAGGAGAAACGTTTCCTTTAATATCCGGAAATATAATTTCATCGTTCACAAGATCTGACCAAAAACTTTTTCAGTAAGGGGAGTTTATCTATGAAGTTCAATTTAAAATTCGATTCGAATTCCCTCAAAATAAATTTAATGACATTTCCGGATTTCTTTGCATCCACAAAAAAAAGTTTTTGAAAGTCAAAACGAGACAAAATCAATACTTAATATTTTATATTGGCAAGTCTTGGGGAAAATTTGTCTTTATGATTCTTGTTTTCGGTACAGTGATGACTCTTTATAGCTTTAGTGTATTTGAGTAAGTTTAAAAGTTTATCGATGGTAAATTTGGGTTTTAAGAATATCAATCATTGTTCCTATTAAGAATAGGACTCGAATTTAAACTGAAATTCCAAAACTGACCAAATATGATCAAAACTCAGTTGCTTCTCAACCCAAAGTTGACCCCCATTTTAATGATATTTTTCCATTTATTTATCACCCCCTTTCTGTATTTTGTTATCAAATTTAGCAGCACAGAACACAAAAAAAAATCTTTACCATTTTCCCCCAAAACATCCGGAACAAAGTTTGTCATGTTCTTCTGCTACAAAGCAACTTTTCAATCTCATTTTTCATAATTCAAGAGATGAAAATGAACGAAATTTTTCTGATGACTCGAAATAGAAAAAAAAAGATATAAAATTCACATCTGTCATAAGCGAAGAGACTGTCCATAGGATAAAGTTATCAAAGATTTGAACTTTTGTTGATTGTCGCACCCTTGAACACATTGTGTGTTAAATGTGGTGCAACATAGCAAAGCTAGACATAACAAGAATGATCCATTCTATAAGAGAAGAGAAACAGATTTCTTTTGTTCCAAATGTTTGGAAACTTTGCACGAAATGTTCATCAGGATAGCTTTTTTTCATGCACGACGACCCTCTTTCCTCTATTTTTCTTCCACAATAAAATTTGAAAATAATTTTCATGAATGTTTTTACGTCTGAGGACTGTCAGATTTCTTTCAATCATTAAATGAAGGATATTTTTTTTATCTGCAGAGATTAAATTATAATTAGAGTTTTTCTCCATCACGACTGTACACATCTTGGCGATGCTGTCAAAAAATAAATCCTCTTATTATTACTTTAATTTTTAAATCAAATTTAATTTTCCATGAAAACTTTTTTTTGCATGCTGTTTAGGAGATACCAACAGAATAAATAAATGGAAAATGAGAATGAATAAACAATTGTAACAAGTGCTGTTAATGGGAAATTAATTTTCTGAAAATAGAAGCTTGAGAGCTGATAATTGTACAATTAGGAAGGGATTGTTGTCTTGAAGGAGTTAATGAATTCTAAAATTGGACCAACTTAATTACAACAGGCTGAACATATTATAAAGTGGGATTCAGTGTCAGTGCCATCTATAGCAGAAAATGGATCTTAATTGCTTTGCACGACAAGCCAAGGAATTGCCACTAAGCATTATTTATGTAAAATAAATTAATTACCAGCCGAAATGTTAAGGTATGTAATAGACAATCGCAGAGCTAACTCAACATTATGCACGTACATTTATTACATGTCATCAAAGGCAATTTTTTTCGCTTTTGCCTCCTTTTTCGATATGCTGAACAGCGTGTGGAAAATTTTGCATGTTGGTACAAAAAAATATTTTTGTGCCTTATCTTGTGCTACATTTCTCTGATGTTCTCATGGCTCTTTGCACTTCCATTTATTATTACAAAATTTTTTCTTCTAGCAAATTTTCATTTTACTATAGCATAATGTGCTCACTCAGTGTAATTCATTCATTTTGTGTGAAAGATTTTTCTCCTCTTTACAGCTTTTATAATATGCCCAATTTGACATGGAATTGTCTGATAAAAAGGCTTTTCATGCATGATATTTTTGAGATATGAATTTATATCACAATTTTGACTGATTTGGATAAATTTAACTTTTGATAAATTGGGAAAAATTCATTAGAGTCTAGGCTGAAGAGAGGGCGAGGGTCAAGGGGAAAACAACATGATGGGATTACTACAAATGTTTATCTGATTTCCAATTTTAACTATTTAAATGGATAGAATAGGTTTGACAAAAATTGAAGAAATTCGAGAGCTGAATCTTAACCAGCCATATTCGAAACATTCACAAAGCGTTCAATCCATCATAAAATTCATAACTTAATCATTTTTTGTTGCTTTTATTATTCCATACTTGCTTTAGCTTTTCCACGTCTGAGTAAAACATTTTTCACGGATATATTTTGTGCCGACAAAGCAATTTTTTTATATTAAATGAAATTTGCAACGAGAAAAACCAAAGGAACAAAAAATTGAATGAGGAGAAGAAGTAGAATTCGTAAAAAAGCTCTTTGTTGCATTGTTAATGTAATCTACCGAAACTTTTTTTCCTTCTTGCTTTAAAATAACACAAAAGATTTTTTTTTTGTGAATTAGGTTTTTCATCCTCCGCTAAATAGCATTACTTTGAACAGTAAATACATAAAGGAAGAAGAAAAACTTTTCATCTTTACTGCCATTAAAGTGCCGTTTTACCTTCCTCCCATTTCTGATGTCACAAGCTCATCTTTTCTTTCTTTTGAACGTCGTGATATTTTTCAATTTACCGCCTTTTCACACTCAATTTTAATATGTATTCTTATACAGTCTCGTACTTTAAACTGTAATGACATCTGTATGCTATTTCTATACATTGAACAACACCTCCAAATTTACACATATAGCTTTTTTTTTTGAAAATAGTAATGTGAGTTTTTATGATATGTTACTTATATAAATGTAGTCGGAAGGTGCTTAAAGATGTTTTGAGCATATAGCTGGAACTCCCTTTAAAGTTATTGAATAACAGAAATAGAATAAAGTCAAATCATTTCTGGTATCTTTTTTTATCGAAAACCTTTTTGGGGCTATTCACTAAGGACGTCCATTATTTTTTGGAGACAAACTTATTATTTTGTGACATTATCCACAATAAGAATATTCTATTATAAGATTGGTAGGAATTTTCAAATCATTTTCTTATAGACATCATAAGCGAACAGCCCAATATCTAAAAATACGTCAAAATGATGAAGATATTGGTAACTGATAACACCATATCGCTGTCTACCTCAAACTCACACTTAAACTGTGTATTTAATATCTTTTGTTCAGTTCTTAATACGCATTCGAAGCATGTAAAAGGCAGGAAAGTTTTATTCAAAAGATATTTAAATTTTAAGGAAAAAAATTATTTTTTTGAAGTTAAAAAGTAAGTTGTATTTTTAAGGAACAGATTCGATACTTAAATTTTTAATGTGTAAGTCAGTAAGTAATTGATGCAAGGCTCAACAAGTTTTAAAATTCATGCAATTCCATATGGATTCCTTTGTGTAGCTCTGGGTTAGAATCTAACCCAACGAAGTAATTGTTTTATTTTGAATAAAAATCTCCAAGACAAGAATCTTTGCTGTATTAAATTACTGAACTGAAGAACAAACCATACATTAAGTAACCAAATATACGGAAAGTTTTCTTTGTCTGAAAATACATGACATATTATTCTAAACTTGGTTGTCATGCAAAAAAATAAATATTTACAATGTAGGGCCATTAATGTATCAATATTTGAGCAGATCATGTTGAATATTTTTGTAATGTTAGTAGCATAGACATTTAACATGATGTCAAATGACATATTTTATGAAGTTACAATGTAGAGCTTAGCTTTTTAAATCAGTTTATTATTCTTGCTACATGATGGTTCATTTATAAATGACGTCCTTCAAAAACTAAGACTTTTTAGCCTTTTTCAACCTCTGCCACACTTATTTTAATTTTGTTTGGAAGTATCAAATATTGTCAGACTTCCTCCTCCCCAAATAAAGAGAAATTATTTTTAGAATACGTCTTAACAAGACTTATACTCAGACATAAGCTTTTATCGCACAAACTGCACATTTACACCTATCATCTGTTATCAAAGTTCAATTCTCTGATAAAAATTTATATGTATTTCCAGGTGCGATATTTCCAGAATTAAAAAGAAGTAAACAAGTTGATTCAGTGAAAATAAGCAGAAACAAAAATGAGGTTGTTGATAAATTTCCTATTATTATTGATGATAATAGCTGTAATCAATTGTAAAAATGTGGAAGAAGATTATGACGCAGTCAATGAGGAAGAAGCCGGTGTGATTCCATTTACTCATTTCTGTAAATTCGAAATTCCAATGGTCAATCACTCGACTACAGACGATGAAGATTTTTGTGATTGTGATGTTGTCTCGAGTTCCGTAATCGGTAAACCTATAGTCAAAATAAACTGTGAAATGAGTAATCACGTCACCAATCTTACAAATAAAGTGTTTCAAGCACAAAAGCTACCCATCAATACTGTCACATTGATACTCTCCTATCAACATTTCAATGAGATACCCGAGTTTGTTGGAGAACATTTAAAACATCTCGACATGTCAAATAATTTGATTACAATCATAAAAGATGAAAATTTTATTCATGTCACGTCCCTTGAGCATTTAGATTTGAGCTACAATTCAATTTCGGAGATTCAATCCAGTGCATTTCAACAATTGCAGCTTTTGCACTATCTTGATCTAAGCAGTAATCGAATTGTTCAGCTGCCATTGAATGTTTTTACACCGCTTAGTGCACTTGAGACATTAAAACTATCATCAAATGAGGAACTGGGAAAGAATATTGTACGTGATGTTTTCAATTCATCCTCAGTATCAATTTATCAACTTTTTGGTATCACAACGAAACTTAATAGTCTTGTAATGACTCACTGTGAGTTGACTGCAGTAAATCTACGTGAAGGTGCTGACTTGAAGCGCATCAATTTGAGTTTTAATAACATCACTGACTTCTCGATGATTGAATTACCAGATAATGTAGTAAGTCTCGAGTTATCCGGAAATCCAATACTTCATTTTACGGCAACATCATTACCATCGCTTTTATTGCTCGAGGAATTAATTTTAGAGGATCTACCATTTCTAAAAGAAGTGAGCGATTTTTCACTTTATGGATTTCCAAAGCTCCATCATTTGACATTTGAAGGATCAAGAAATTTATCGCTTATAAAAGGCTCTGCTTTTTATGAGGATTCATCCAATGAAAACATTGATACACAACTTAAAATATTCAACCTTCGTGGGTGCAGCTTGAAAAGTCTCCATATTTCACTTGAACCAATAATCAATCAATTGGCAGAATTTCATATTGACGGTAATTCGTTCGATTGTAGCTGTGATATGAAATGGGTAAAATATATTGGAATTGACACAAACTTACAGTGTCATAGACCCGAAACACTTAATGGAAAGCTTTTAAGAGAAATACCTGATAAGAGGCTGAAATGTGAGAATTTCTTCTTGAATAAGCTTATTAATACAATGATTCTACTATTTCTTCTGATGGTATGCTCATTGGCAATATGGTTCTTCTTGAGACGATTAAATCCAACGCGTAGAAATAAATTTCAAAAAGTTGGACCCGAGTCGCCTTATCAACGAGTCACAATAGAACCAAATCGAGCGGAATATTCACTGTACTAAGAAAAACTTGTTAAGATTGCGAATTTTAATATTTAAGGAACATTGTTCATGATGATTTGTAGAAGTTCTAGTCTAGTCATAAAATATTTTAAATCATAAGTTTGAAGAATATTTCTTTTATTTTAACAACAACTTAATATTATTGTAGTTTTTATTTATTTAATTCAGATAAAGATGAATAAAAATTTTAAAAAGTAAAGACTTATTTTTTTAATGAAATAACTTTGAGGTTGAGTCGCACTAGACTTAAAAATTAAGACTTCAATTGAAACAAAATTTTAAATGCAACTTTATTTATTTTTTCTAAACGGAAAGAGAAAATATTAAAATATGTTCTCAACTTTAACATTTCGTCTCTCAATTCTCTCATAATTCGTGGAATTTTCTGACATTTAATCACATTTGTTTATAATCTCTAACAGAACAAACATATTTGCGGAGTGCATTTAAAAGTTATCTTGAAAGTAAATTGTTTGTAGTTTTCTTCGTTTTCTTTAAAAATGGTGAATTTATCACTTCAATTAGAACCCAATGCAGATGGAAGACATATCTTTCTTGCTGGACAATCGATCAAAGGTTTAAGAAATGAATTAATCTTAAGATGATCTTAATTATCATTTTGTTTCAGGAACTATAAAGTTATCATTAGAAACACCGAAAAAGTTTAGAGGTGAGTTTTGATTTGAACTTATAATCGATTTAACAACAGATGCAATTTACTTACATCATTTGAAAGTATTCGTTATCAATTGATTTAAAATTATATTTCATAGCGCTTTATATAGCTGTTCGAGGAAGATCTGAAATACATTGGACGGAAATTAAGCATGAAAGAGTAGGAAGTGATATTAGGAACACAGATCAAAATTATCGCAATGAAGAAATCTATTTGAATTCAAAAACTGTTCTTTTTGGTAGTATTGGAGGACCATCAATTGAAATTTCTGCAGGTCTTCATCAATATAGCTTTTGTTGTTCTTTGCCAACAATGTTACCATACTCATTAAAGGCAAAACACGGAAAAATTGAATACAGAATTGAATCGGTTCTTGATGTACCTTGGAGATTTAACAAGGAATGTTCTGTTCCATTTATAGTAGCTCGTTATGATGACATGAATCTAAGGAATGATTTAAAATTCGGACAAGCTTCTGAAGAGATGGAAACATTTTGCTGTTGCTTTTGCAGTTCAGGACAATTAACTTTAAAGGCATCAATTCCTATTTCAGGATTTGCAATTGGTCAAAATATTCCAATTGATATCGAATACTCGAACCAGAGTGATATTGATGTTATAAGAACTGAAATTAAGCTTATTAAAATTGTAAAATTTACAAGCTCGACACCACAATTAAAAACTAAAACGATTCCTGAAACAATTTTGGAAACATTTACTGATGGTGTAGTGAAGAGATCCGCTGCTAAATTTACAAGCAATTTAAAATTACCAACTGTTATGCATACATCTAATGAACATTGTACTCGCATTCTGCAAGTTTCTTACAAACTTGAAATAACAGCTAAAGTTTCTGGAATACGGAGTAATGTTAGTGTTCCTATTTCAATCACTATTGGGACGTCACCTATAATTTTAGCAAATGACAATGCAATTCGAAGTGACTTTTTTGTTCAACCATCAGCGCCTGTTTATGATGAAGAAATGGGTAAATTGTTTAATTGCGTTTATAAAACATTTTCAATAATATTTTAATTGTTTTTCAAGATCATGGTGCTGCATTTTTTGAATGTAATGACCAAGAGATTTCTAATCAACCGCCACCACATTCAACAATACAATCTGCATATCCAGTGAACATGCATAATCAGCCAGTACATAACTTTATTCAGCCATATGTGCCTGCTTATACAACACAGAGTGCATTTCATCCAGGGCAAATTCAGCCAATAAATAATACCATTCAAGTTCAGGACAATGTTTATACTAATCAAGCTTTTCCCACTATGTCAAATGTTCAAACGACTCAACAGATCATAAATCCAGGTTCAATTATGTCTCAGAATCCTTACTCGAAAAATTAAAACCAGACCTAAAGCCTATTTTTTATTTGTTAAAATAAAGAAGATTCTGATTTTCGTTAAACTTTATTGGAGGTATTTATAAAAATTTCGTAATAACCTTAATAAAATCATTTGATTTTAGTCCAACTTACTGATTTACTTTCTTTCAGGAAAGGTATGAGTTCTAATCACAAAGCATTCATGCGAAATATTGAGATGTCTATCAATTTGTAAAAAGAAAATTTTTCCAAGTTCCATCATGTCTTTCAATTCAACCATATTGAATCTGTAATCTTCACTTTCTACAAGACTTTGCATCACAGTATCGGACTTTGATCAATAAGATCCAAACCACTGTGTTTCAATAATTTGAATAACGAATTCGTCGCGTAAAAATTTGACCATAATAAACTTATTAAGCTGCTGGAGTCGATAAATGTAATCCTTGTTGATGCTTTTCTCATTATTAATATCGGCAATAAAAGTGTTGTATTTTATATAGTTTTGAATATTAATCGGATCATGCCAATAAGTGGCTTGAGCAATATGATTTTTGTGCCCAATCAGAGCATGCAAACATACTTAAAAATTTCTTCAGCAGCGAACATGTTGAAATTGGAAATATTGAACAATTTGGAATTCCATAAATGACTTGGTGTTGGTCACCGAATGCTATAAAATTGATAACTCTCGCGGAAGGACAACGTTGGATTAGACCACGCCTAAAAACAAATAAGTTGAATTTATTTTCAGATATTGACTTGACTCAATCCGATTGCATGAAAACCATTTTTAAGCTTTCATCTTTAAATGTGTTAAAATGCAACATTTAATTAAATTCTTTTACATTTAATTATGTTTAAACACGCAAGGATGAGACCCTCCTCCCCATTTAATAAAAATATATCATTACTAAAGGTTCATTCTTATGAGAAATATGATATTTGGTGATGCTAATTAATTTACAGTGTAAAATTAGATTAAACGAAATTTTGTATATTAAATTGATAATTATTCTACAAGTGTATCTGTGACGGCGATAAGACAGGCGTGTTTAAAACATCGTTACCTCAATTAATAATTTAATTAACATAATATAAAATGTGGTCTAATATGATTATTACAAGATCATTACTATACCCCTAAAATTCATGCAAATAACATCATTAGAATATAATTTTCAGCAAAAACCATTAAAACCAAGCCTATAATGTAACCACAAAAGGTCATCATAAATAGATGAGTGTAAGTAAAGTAATTAACCCAATTTTCAAACCAATAAGTTTCATCATGTTGCTACATATAATCTACAAATAATCTCCTTCTTTTCACCCCCATCATTTGATTGCTGAATTGTGAATCACCCAGTGCGTTGGAAAAAAGAGAAAGGAACTGGGAAAAACACACAATAATAAATATCATCATCATCATCACACTGTCAGCACATTTTTAGTCTGATTATTATTGTTATTATTTTTACGATTGTTTTTATTATCAATTTTTATTTTTATTTTCTTCTTCTTGGCTTGAATGGAAATGAGGATGGTGAATTTAGTTTGAACTTTATAAGCGCATTTATGTTTTCATTAAGGATTTAAGGGGCACTTTTATTAAATAAAATGGCCGGGGAGGGGGTCTAAAAACAATAATTTTTAAAAGTCGTCATTTTTGAACGACAAGGACCAATAACAAGTGAGAAAATCGTCTCGTCAAGTATGTCAACATGATATGTCACTTAATATATGAGTCTCAAAATGCTCTCAAAAGATGAGTAGCATTTATGCCTTCACCATTAGCATTATTGCTATTATTTGCGATCAATAAATTTAATCTTCTTTAATGGCAGAAAATTATTTCGAGGAGGAGATGAAGAAAGAAAAATCATCCTTCATCGTCTCGAGAAGTTGAGGAATAAGAAGCTAAAATTTTTATAAAATTTCTATAAGCTGATGAAAATGCTTTTCTTTTCCTTATTAAATAAGTTGGAAAAAAAATTTTATCTCAATTTTTGTTATTTTTGATGGTGTTGTTGTTATAACCCCTTAAGAAGTACAGCAAGTGGGTATTTCAGATAGAAGAAATTGATTTTTCCCATAAGGAAAATTAATAAAATAGTTTTTCTTTCTCAACAACCTAAACTTTCCTTCCTATATCATGACACATATACAGCAACGAGGGAGATGAAAAGAGACAGAGAAAACGGAAGATGATAGATTTTATCTTTTAAGATGATTAAAATTGTATGGTTTAGGAGAAGTGGAAAATTTCTCCATTAATATTCTCATCTCCCCCCTTTTTAGCTTGCTTTTTATACAATGCGATGCTGCATGAATGAAAAAGTTTTTCTCTTTTCAAATGTGCATGTAAACAAGTTGAAATTCTAATCAAAATTATTAAGCGCTGGAAGTCAACTAGAACTGTTACCAGAAATTATTCTAGGGGAAGTTTGGTTACGACCTTTTATCAAAAAAACATCAAGGGTCAGTTTCAAGAGCTAAAGTAGGTGCATAGAGTACCGAGATTAAGGTTTTCCCCCAAATAGCTGCTGGCTACTCTTTTGAGTAGAAATTAGAGTGATGATCATGTGGCTTCATCTAGACTTAAGTTTATCTTGACTATAGTTGAGCTATTACTTCAGTAAACAATTGAAACTAGTCAGACATAATCAACTATTTAACACGCTTTCTAAATTTCTAGATACAGCAGAATATAATTTTTTGCAATACTTTTTCCTTCAGCAAAGTGGAGTAAAGGATTATCTTTCAATTTTTCCACATTTCTATTCCCTATCATTTTCATCTTCTTTTCCTCAATTCTTGTTTGATAAAGGACATGAGATCAGATTTTTTTTCCTAAAACTTCTATATACATCTATCTATATCCACACACATTGTTCCAGATGACTGAAACATGTCGCAAAGATTGAGAAAAAGTTTTTCCCCTTACTTGAATTTTTTTATATTTATTGTGAACCGAAATTC